CAGAGGGGCATCCTATTAGGCTGCAATATATTGTAATGGATTGCTTTGAAGCCACTTCACACACACACCCCAACCATCCCACCCTGTCCTGTATTTTGCAGAAACAAAGGTGGCCACCCCAGGTGCAGTTCCCATCACCTCTGGCCATTGGCCATGCTGCTTGGGGCTGGAGTACTACAGCATGTGGAGGGGCAAAAGTTAGCTGCCCCTGGAGGTTACTCAATGCTTCCTTCACAAAGGTACTTTGTTACCTCCACACACACCCCAAAAACCTCAGGCTGCCTCCTCCTCCTCCCTTTCATTGCCTCCATCCTTTGACAAAGTGCCTGAAATGTATTCAGAGTCGAGAGTAGATTTCATGCTCTTTATTCAGCTCATAGTGGTGAGGAGGAATGGAAGTTCCCCCAGAATGTCTGCTTTATATACATTATTTACACAATGGGCCCCACGTGATTGGCTAATTCTCGGATTCTCCTGTAGACCAATCAGGTTGCGGATTCACTTCCACCTGGAGCTGGATTGGGTGGCTCCTGTGGACCAATCAGACTGCTGCATTCTGGGTCCTATTGTTCTAGAACCAATCAGACTCCTGCATTCTGAATCCTATTGTTCTAGCACCAATCAGACTGCTGCATTCTGAATCCTATTGTTCTAGGACCAATCAGACTGCTGCATTTTGGATCCTATTCAACTCAGTACATAACAGTGCCCCAAACCTTTGGAAAATCCAAACCCATCATTTCTGTTCTGTCAGCTTAGCCTGTTAGGAAGCTGCCTTGGGTCACATCAAAACATAAACAAACGCCGGGCATGCACATCAGATTCCCCAAACTGAGTTGCTCCATGTTGCCAGCCATGCTCACCCCACCTCTCTCCCTTCCCTTTACCAAAGCAGAAAGCAATGGTCTTAAATGTAAGGACTCTGCCCCACACCCCAGCCTTCCCTCTAACAAATCCCACCAGCAGCTCTTGGAAGCTCCTACTTCTCTGCAGTTTCATTGTTGATCCAGATCTGCCCGGAGCTTATAATTGACATTTAAATTACTCCGCAGAACAACAAATCAATATTTATGGATTGCTGGGCCAATGTGTTGGCCAAATGAGTTGTTCTGGGATTCCGTCTCCCAGCAAAAAGGCCGACCAGGGTCAAGGTCAAGGCTTTGGCTAATGAGGAACCGAGGCCCCGTCAACAAACCACCAGACGGCATTTAGCAGGGATGGAGTTCCCGTTAGTCGTTTGGCATAACATATTACACTCTTTGTTCGTCTCCTGACTTATCATTTTTTGCCTTGAGAGCTGCTCAGCAGAGATACAAAGGCTGCTTTCTCCTCCCACAACAGACCACAAAAACTACTCACCTCAGCTAAGACCAAGGAACTAAAATACTGTACAGTGGTACCTCAGGTTACATATGCTTCAGGTTACAGACTCCGCTAACCCAGAAATAGTACCTCGGGTTAAGAACTTTGCTTCAGGATGAGAACAGAAATCGTGCTCCGGCGGCGCGGCAGCAGCAGGAGGCCCCATTAGCTAAAGTGGTGCTTCAGGTTAAGAACAGTTTCAGATTAAGAACAGACCTCCAGAACGAATTACGTACTTAACCCGAGGTACCACTGTACTGCTTTTATTCCCTCTTTCCCTCTCTGTTCACAAGATAGCATGTCTACCCCCTGTTGACATCTGGAATAATTGCTACACTTGGGTATATTGACTGAATGTTTTCCTGTGCGTTCTTCATGGAGCTTAGAACAGATCTTACAACAACCTTGCGAGGTAGGCTGAAAGATGAGGTAGTGGCCTTAGAGTCAGGCCATTGGTCCATCTGGCTCAGAAAAAAAATGGCCAAATAGAGATGATGAAGTGATTCCCCTATTAGGAAAGGTTGCTGCATTTGGGACATTTTCGTTTAGAGAAAAGAGTCACATGATGAAATTATGTATGGCACTGAGTAATTTTCTCCCGGATAGAGGATGTTTTTCTGCATCTCTCCTAACACAAGAAGTTGTGGGCATCCAATGAAGCTGAAAGTTGGGAGATTCAGGGCAGAGAAAAACAAAGTCCTTCTTCATTCAGCAGTATGGAACTCACTTCCGCAGGAGGCACTGATGGCATTAAAAGAGGATTGGACGAATTCATGAATGAGAGGGCTATTGATGGCTGCTAGCCATGATGTCCATTCTCTGGCTCCACTTCCCATAGGCATCTTAACCCTAAATCAGCCTTTGCCAACCTGGTGCCCTCCAGAGGTTTTTGGAAATGTGAGCTGCTACAACCCTCATCCCCAGCTAGCACAGGAAGGTCAGCCCTAGGAGACCTCAGGCCTCAGTGAGTATTGATGAGTTACATGAGAATTGGCCTCTGCCTGTGAAGGACGGGTTAGTCCTTCTCCTCTTGAAGAAGCCTTTGTCCCTGGAGAGCTGACAAGAAACAGCAAAAAACAGGCAGGATTTAGGCCCTCTTTAATTCCCCATCATTTTATAATCACCCCCCTGGTGGCACTGGCTGCTTCCAATTAACCCCAGAGATGCCCTTGACTTCTCTAAAAGTTTTTTATCAGCTGGTACAGCCAGAACCCCCAACGGCCAACCTCCAAGGAAAGGCGGGGAGACCCCAAAAAAACATTCCCTGGGAATCCAAAACATGCACCCACACTCACACCGCATTCAAGTCATGCGGTGGAAAATTTCTTGAGGGTATTAAAAGGCAGGGAGGAGCGCTGCGGCTGCTTTTGAAGTCCTCTCTTCTCCCCTTTCCACATTTTAGGAGACCAAACGGAGGATGAAACTCCAATGACATGGAGGAATAATCCCCTATTCAGCCCTGAAAGGATTATTCTAATTACTTTGATTATTAAAAGATCAGACAGGTCCCTTTCTGCAATCCTGCTTCTCCTCCCCGCTCCCCGCACCCACCCACCGCACAGCCAAGCCAGCCTTTAAAAAAAGGGCTCCGCAGTGGGAATTGGAGAACGTCTTAAGTAAACAGAGAGAACAAATGGAGGCTGCCAGAGGCCCTGGGCAGCTCCTGTCTGCTCCATGAGCTGTCCGCCCAAGCGCTGCCTCGCTGGGGCCCGGGTCTTTTGTGAGCACCTCAATAGGTACTAAACAGGCCCTGAAATCGGAACTCTTTGGGGCTTCTCAAGTGTGCAGAGAGTGGCTGGCTGCCTCCTTTATCTCCATGGCGAGGTGGCGGTGTCAAGCAGAGCCGCCATGAATGAACCAGAGAATGGCGGCTTTCATGGCCGTCTATTTCCCTCCCCTCTCTCTGCTAAGCCTCCTCCCTCCTCCCTTGGGAGTGGAGGGGAGAAGAGAAGCACAGATGGTCTCTCCTGACCTGCTATTTATCATCCTGGCAAAAGCTTTCCTCCGCTCAATGCGGCGGAGCAGCCCATGGAAGGGAGCCTGTTTGTTTCTGCTGATGAGGACCGTCAATTTGCACAGCCGTCTCATTAGGCCTAAACCGCCAATTAATTTCTTTTGTTCTCATTAAACTGGCTGATTCCTAAACATTTCGGGCCTGGCAATGAGGGGCCCGGCGAAGAGCTTCAGTCCAGGAGGCAATAGCAGACACAAACGCCATACACTTGGCCAGCCCTCTGGGCAGCTGCACAGAGTCCTCACCAAAAAATGCCTCTGGGAGTTGGGCCCGTTGAATTTCTCAACTTTCACATTCCAAAAATGAAGGGTGCTGAAAAGTTGTAACATGACTTGGGAATTTCAAAAGCTATTCTGAGTTAAATTGATTCAGTGTTGTTTTGCATGGTCCATAAATTGTATAGAAATCATTAAAAATGACCGCCAAGTTCGCATTTAGGAAGGGACATTTCCTGAAACAATTCTCCTTTCAAAATTTGTACTTGTTCAAATTTTGCAATGGAGTTCACCAACCAGGTAAGGTGTCCCCAAATGTGTATGTTAGGTAAATAAAGATCCATTTGTGAAAATTGCATACCATATTTTTCCGTGTATAACTCGCCCCCATGTATAAGACGACCCCTATTTTGGGGGGACAGCAACAAAAACCAATCACATGCCCAACTGCCGCTGCCAATCTCCTGCTGGCTGCTGCCACCAATCACCTGCCCCCCTGCTTTCCGTGTATAAGACGACCCACAATTTTTGCCTATTATTTCCAAGGAAAAAATATCGTCTTATACACGGAAAAATACAGTACATTGCTGCATTGGATTATGCAGAAAAATGTGTCTGTTAAGAAAAAAATATCACTAAAATGCTGGCAAATGTCCAGTGAGGACTTTCTTAAATAAATAAATAAAATTGCAAACAGGTGTGGAAATATGGAGAATGGAATGAGAATCGGAAGGAAATTGAAACTGACCAATTTGCCCATCCCTGCCCCCAACAGGGGAATTAGCTTTACGCTGCTCAAAGTGGCTTGTTAAAGGGACGGTTGGCAACTCCAGACTATTAGAATCAAAGAATCGTAGACCTGGAAGGGAGCCTAAGGGTCATCTAGTCCACCCCCCCCTGCAATGCAGGAATCGCAGATAAATAAACACTAGCAATATTTCATTGGCCCCATCCTTACAGGGGGAGTTGCTAAACTAGTAATCTGCCAGAAGCCTCTTTTGGCACTGAGTGGCACATGAACAAATAAATAACTAAAAAAAATTTTTGTTGTCCAGTAGCACCTTAGAGACCAATTAAGTTTGTTCTTGGTACAGTGGTACCTCAGGTTAAGAACTTAATTCGTTCCGGAGGTCCGTTCTTAACCTGAAACTGTTCTTAACCTGAAGCACCACTTTAGCTAATGGGGCCTCCAGCTGCCGCTGCACAATTTCTGTTCTCATCCTGCAGCAAAGTTCTTAACCCAAGGTACTATTTCTGGGTTAACCAAGTCTGTAACCTGAAGCGTCTGTAACCCAAGGTACCACTGTATAAGTTTTCGTGTGCATGCGCACGAAAGCTTATACCAAGAACAAACTTAGTTGGTCTCTAAGGTGCTACTGGACAATTTTTAATTTTATTTTTTATATTTTGACTGTGTCAGACCAACGCGGCTACCTACCTGAAATAAATAACTGTAAGGCAGAGATTTTGCAGCTCGGTTGTAGCTGGAGACAGAAAAGAAGGGTCTGAGTTTTTGGAAGAAGCAACTGCCTTTAATTCATACCCGCTGCACTGAAAGGAAAAAAGCCAAGAAAGCGTTTGTGCATCTTGGCCCAGAGAGCTAAGCAGCCCTCCTGAGTTGTAAGTTTATGGTTTCTGTTTCACGTCCTCTTTCCTCCTTGCTTCTGCTGCAGCTAGTAATGGTTGAGGTTGTTAAGTAAAGGATCCAGTTTACAGTTTATAGCTGTAGCAAGATTTTTAAAAATAAAAATAAATTCTACTCAGCAGCATGAGTTTGGGAGCTATGTGGGAAAGCTGTCAAATGTGGGGTGACACCACATTTGGGGGGTTGTAAGAACTTGGAACCAGTTTACCTATGAGATGCCTTATATAACGCTCACTCGACAGATTTGATTGGAGGAACTGGCCCTGTTACAGGTGCCACATAATATCTGTTCCACGTTTGTAAGAACTCAGCCTTTTAGAGTGGTAGGATCTACACTTTGGAACTCCCTGCCAATTGACACCAGGCAGGCGCTTTCATTTTTTTCGGCACCTGCTAAAAAACATTCTTGTTTAGACATGCCTACTCAGATATTTAGAAAATTGTTGTGAGTTTTAATCCATTATTAGTGTGCTCATTTTAACTTTTCAAACGCTTTAAATTCTCACTGCAAATTCTTCTTCTTGATAACATTACCGCTTTATCCTTTTTGCAAACCACTCTGAATTACAGTGGTACCTCAGGTTACATATGCTTCAGGTTACAGACTCCGCTAACCCAGAAATATTACCTCGGGTTAAGAACTTTGCTTCAGGATGAGAACAGAAATCGTGCGGCGGCAGCAGCAGCGGGAGGCCCCATTAGCTAAAGTGGTGCTTCAGGTTAAGAACAGTTTCAGGTTAAGAATGGACCTCTGGAACGAATTAAGTACGTAACCAGAGGTACCACTGTATTGTCGTCTTTACAATCAAGTGTGCAAATTGTATGAATTAAATAAATAGTCCAACCTGCTCTGTTCTGGCTGAAAATGTGACATTTGTAAACACACATTACAACACACCAGGAAAATCTCCACTCTTTCTCCTCCAAAGACAACTCGACCTCTATTTAGGGTTTTTCCATAAACTATCACCATAGCAGATTCAGAGAAAAGGGAGTCAGTGGGGTGTGTGTCTGTAGATTTCCAAACAGTGCCTTCCCCCTTCCCGCAAGGCCTTTCCACACCTCAGCAGAAGGGTTCGTGGGCTGCTGCTCACATTGAAAGAAGATTCCACCTAAACATTAGGAAGAACTTCCTGACAGTAAGAGCTGTTCGACAGTGGAATTTGCTGCCAAGGAGTGTGGTGGAGTCTCCTTCTTTGGAGGTCTTTAAGCAGAGGCTTGACAACCATATGTCAGGAGTGCTCTGATGGTGTTTCCTGCTTGGCAGGGGGTTGGACTCGATGGCCCTTGTGGTCTCTTCCAACTCTATGATTCTATGATTCTATGATTCTACATTCCTGCTCTGGAAAACAGCCAAGTTCCCTGGGGGGGGGGGGGGGAAGCTGGTGACGTTAAGTGTCAGTTGCTTATTGTTTCCCCCTGGATGGGTGAGATGATTTATGGTGTCACCATGGTATGGAAACCTGGGAAGGAGCGTCCCCAAGCAATGTGTCCCAAGTGGCCAAATTGATGGGACGGAGCAGAAATGGGGCTGTAGTGGCGATAAGAACCACTTTCTGCAGTGCGTGGGCCAGGTTGTCACAAACAGCAGAGGAGGTGGTGACCAACTGGACTCTTTGCACACAGCTGTTGGACAGTGGAACGCACCACCTAGGAAAGTAATGGACTCTCCGCCATGGGAGATTTTTAAGCAGGTTGGGTGGGTGGCCTCCTGCTGGGGAATCTTTAGCTGCGATTCCTGCATCGCAGGAAGGTTGGACTAGATGACCCTTGGAACCCCCTCCACAATTTCATGATTCATATATGCTGGCCTGCACACAGAACACAGCCCCCCTTTTCTCAACATGCTAGTTTTGAATTTGTATGGAACGATGTTCCGTTTTTGAGAAGCCTGTGTATAAAATCCTGCATAATTTCAATTCCAGTAATGCTCAGTTTGCTCCCATTTCCCCATGAAAACTGATGTGTTTGAATCTGTTACAGGGTTTCCCAAACTTGGGTCTCCAGCTGTTTCTGGACTTCAGTCCCCATAATGCCAGACCACTGGTCCTGCTAGCTAGGTTCTCCTTCTGGTTCTCCATCCTTTGCCACCCTGACCCCCACCTCATCCTCCTGCAATGTCAGGGCCTGGCCATTTGCCTGTTCCTTTATCTTCTGAAGACCATTGGAGGAGGAGATCTGCCCTGTCCCCCGCTTTCATCTTGCTCAAGGTGCTCTATTTTTGGCTTCGACCTTCTCTGCTTTGATCTTTCTTTCCCTTTGATATCTGGTGTTTTTAGAAACATATTGACTTCCTAAATTCCTCATCCTACCAGGGACCAATGTGAAAGTCAGTTGGTGCCATGTCCCCATATAAAAAACCCAAGCACAGCCTAGCAGATAATCTAACAATGGGGGACAACACAGCTCAGATGCCTGCTTTGCAATAGCCCACAATGGATGGGCCAGAACAAAGTTTCACGAAACTAAAAATTGCTTGAAACCTGAATCCCTAACCCTTTACCCCTAACCTGAACCACTTCATCTAACAGTCATCTAGTCCAGCCCTGGCAATGCAGGAATCTCAGCCAGCGATTCCTTTAGCTCTGCCATTACGGCATGTCAGCAACCTTCAACCCAGCAAATAGAACTGGATGTGTTTGTTAGATGGAGTGTGGAATGCATAGAAATTCCCCCTGCCACTGCAGACAATGGCACTGCGCAATCGTTCATTATAACTCAATTACAGTAATTAAAACGGGTGGGATGCAGCAGTGGAACAGATGAAGTGATGGGGGGGGGGAGAGACCAACAAAATTTTGCACGCTGCCATGTCGTCAACTCAAGAGAGCAGCAGCTGACGGCATGCACCAAGCTGCCTCCTGCCATCTGCTCCAGGATGCAAGAACGGCAGGGCGGTGATGCTGCCATTGTGCACTCCACAGGGTTAACTTGAGGGGGACGGGGACAGGTGACATTAAAAGGCACAGAGGACTACTCTGCATAGAGATGCCATCGGGAGAGGCCACAAATATCCATGCAGGCTGTGGATGGAGCAGACATTTCATCCAAAACGAAATGTGGGCCGGCCCATCTGTTAGGCAAGCAGTACCACAAGGGCGGGTGTCAAATCCTTCTGTGCTCTCAGACCACCTGCCTGCAGAGCTGCCTTCCACCCAGTTTGCTGACTGCCAGCAGCACTAGCCAAATGCAGAAGCTCCTCCCTGGGATCCCAAGAACCAAAGAAAAGGCCTGCAGAGTCCAACATCCTGTTCTGGCAGCGGCCACCCAGATGCCCCCGTGGGAAACCTGCAAGCAGGACCTGAGAGCAACAGCACCTTGGTCACCTACAATTCCCAGCAAGTGGTATTCAGGAACATCCCAACAGTGGAGGCAGAACCCAGCCACTGTGGCTAGGAGCCATTGATAGCCTTCGTCTCCACGAATTTGCCCGGTCCTCTTTTAATTTGCCCCATCCCGCTCCTCCTTGTGGGAGCAACCATTGCTGTGTGAACCCTCCAGCATTCAGCTCCACTGGGTGCTCTCAGTTCTGGCATGAACAAGACTCTTCCCCATCCCTTTCTCCACTTCTTGTTGCAGCGAAGCAGCCACAATAAAATGCTCCTCGAGGCCAAGGCCTTCGTCTGAGGAAGACTTCATTGTGGACGAGGTGGCTTTGGCGAGCGCTTGGTTCACACTGCAGTACTAGGGAACTTTATTATTTGCCTCTTCAAATGTGCCTGCAAGGCCAGCTTGCTCCAAAAGCCGGAGGAAGAACCCCATTCCATAGAGCAAAGCAAGGGCAATGTGCTTCCAAAGGCAAGCAGGAGACGACAGGAAGTGGCCCACTTTACCTCATGAGGCAAATCTAGTGCCGGCCCTGACTTCATTGCTATTTATTTATGGCACCTTTTTCTTCAAGGAGCTCAAGGTGGTGTACGGCGTTCTCCCTCTCCTCATTTGATCTCCGCAACAGCAGCCCTTTGAAGTAGTTTACGCAGAGGCAGTGACTGGCCTAAGGTCACCCAGTGAGTAAGGGGATTTGAACCTTGTTTGCTCCCAGGTCCGCTACCGCACACTGGCTCTACTGAAGTCTCTCCAAGTCCATCTCTACAAGCACATTCTGAACAAGAGGGGGATGAATGTCCATATTTCTTTTGCCTCCCACGAGGCCTGGAGATCTTTAAATCCATCCTCACCAACATGGCTCATTAGCCATGGAATGTGGCTTGTCCGGTGCTTAGCCATCCACCTTCTTTCGGGGGTCCATGCCTGGTTTGGTGAAGGCTTCAAGCCTACACACAAACACCATCTGTTGACCTGCCCTCACAACCGTTTCCTGGAATCGCTTGAGCGTCACAGATCTATTCCCCCACTGTTGCCTGACATAACAACTTGCATCAAATGGAGCCACTGTCAGACTTTTTCCGGAAATGAAGCCTTAACAAGACACAGAATTGACTGGGATATTAATGACCTGTTATTTTAGAGCTTAGTGTCTATTGGGGGAAGAGTCTGGCCATGATGCTCGGAGAGTGTCAACGACTGCCAGGAATGGTAGGGATCCTGAAATTTGGACCAGGCGCTGATCTCAGCTCTCCTCCTCCTCCTCCTGTCCCTCTGGCCACATTTCCACCATACATTTTTAGCACTAGAACTCCCCCAAAGAATTATGGGAACTGTAGTTTGGGCAACGGTGCCAAGTGTCGTTGGGAGACCTCCATGCCCTTCACAGCACTGCAATTCCCAAAATTCCCTGGGAAGTGGTGTTAAACCACTCTGGGAATTGTAGCTCAGTTTTGGAATACAGTTGTTATTTGAACTCTCATTGTGAATTCTGATTACACCTTTCCACTCGTAACAAATGTCCAAGGCAGCTTATATTAACAAAATAAAAAATGCAGGACTCTATCCTTCCAGATTCAGTTCATTAAAAAGAAAGAGATTATCCTGCAACTCGCCTTCCAAGTCAAGTGCTGAAACTCACAAGATTTACTCATCATATGCTAAGCCTCATAAAACCAAGGCCATTTTAAGCAAGCAAGCATAAATATGTTTTGCTCCATCCCATGTTATTTTAGAGTTGTATCACCCAACACAGAGCATCTTGAAGAGCTAAAAGCATCCTTAAAAAACAAAACAAAACATGATAAAGAGGAATTAGTGCTCCGAGTTCTCAAAAGCTGCAATAAGACCCAGAAGAGACATAGGCAGGAAGGGCCTTTGAAATAGTGGCAAATGGAAAATGGATTTAGGTTATCCATAAATTTAACCTTTCCAAAAGTGCTGACTAGGCAAAGGTTATAGCAGAGATGAATCCGCTCATAAAGGGCAGAAGACTGGAGGGAACTGGCGGATGCAACACCCTCTGCACAGACTGTGCCAGGAGGGGGACGCCACTCCCAGCCCACAAATCCATCTTCATTCCTTACTAAGGCTATTGGGGGATTTCCGGGTGGGGGCATCTCCCTGGCCATAGTCCCAGCTACCTTGTTCCTTTCCCACCTACAACTCAGGCTTCACCTTTCACTGTGGTATATTTTATTGGAAATGTGGGTGGTTGCTCTGCTCTTTCCTCTTCCAGCCGGAGAAAGTTCGGGAACCGCTGCTGTAGACTATTGAGCTAAATGGATCAATGGACTGCATAAGGCACCTTCCTGTGTCATCTCTAAAGCAGAGCCGGCCCTATTAGTAGGCAGAGTGAGGCAATGGCCTCAAGTGACAGATGGAGGGGGCGCAGCAGTGGGAGCTTCCTTCCAAAAAAACCCCAGGTTGACAAAGACTTGAGTACAGAACAGAAGAGAAGGCATACAGTGGTAAAGGGCCCCCAAAGTTATTTGCTTCTGCTGCTGCTGTTGAACTGACCTGCATTGCAGGGGGTTGGAATAGATGACCCTCGGGGTCCCTTACTCCTCCACAATTCTGCTTGGATGCCAGTTGCAATTTAAAACCACCACCACAATCAAAGCACACCCGATCAATTTCTGTACCACCGCCAGTTCAGAGACTTCCCTTCCACTCCATCCGGGTTCCTAACTAGAGCTAAGGAACACCCCCACCCCCACCCTGAAAGGCCCAGGCCACCAAAGAAAAGAACAACCAGGAAAAGAATCTCTCTCCACTCCATCGTCCTTTATGCACCGGCATGGCCTTTAATAAAAACAGGTAGTTTTTTTTTCACCTTTTAAGCCATAGTGTTTTGTATTTTTTTTAAACCAGATCAAAATCAAAAATTAAAAAATAATCCATAAAAATGTGGTATAAAAATTCTCTTCCATATGCTACATTACAGGGCAAGATCTTCTGCTACACAAATACGTAGATTTTTTCCCGTGTTTAAATCTTATTTTCTCCTTTAGTACAAAAAACGTCAGGAGGGCGAGTCTCCCTCCTCCTCCTCCTCCCCTCCCAACTTTCACTTGATCCAAGAGGCTGGGAGAGGGAAGATTTACCAAAGCCACGTGAAACCCCCACTAGATGCCAACGCCACCCCCAGTCCCCGTCGCACAGAAATCGCTTCGTGTTAGTAAACTTTTTAAAAACAACAACAACCTGCATTTAAACGTTACCATCTCTATCACTTTTACTTTCATTGGAGTGTTTAAAATAAAATAAAAAAGCCCACACAAGTTGCTATTTTCTTTTTTTTTCTCTCTGGCTCCCTGAGCATATTGTTGAACGTTGCTTTCTTGAAACCCCTTCCTCAGCATCTAGGCCTGAAGGTCTCACGTGACAGGCATGGTGGGGTCCAAAACCTAACCGGACACGGACCTCTCATCGCTTCGCTCCAAAGACGCAAGTGCTTTTAAAAAATAAAAAGAAGAATTCCTATAGAAGATGGTGGTGATTGTTCCATTGCTGCCGCCCATCAGCGGCTAAAGGTTGCAATCCAGACAAGGGCTTGGGTCTTGGAAAAAGAGACAGCGGATGCTTCACAGGTACGGCAGTAGAAGATGGGATGTCGGAGGGGAATTTCGCTCCCGCTAGGGGCAAGTGGTGGGTCAGCAGAGTCTCTCTACCAAATGAGTGTTTGGAGGGGGGGGCAGGAGAAGGATGGCCACCACCAAAACCAAAAAACCAAAACCCCAGTGGAATACAGTTACAGCAGACCAAAGTAAGAGGAGAAAAAAAAAATACACAGCTGGCCCCCGAGGCCAGAAGGAGTCCCCCACCGTATTAAAACTCGTCCGCTATTTACATTTCCCACAAGTCTTACAGAGAGACAAAGAAGGACGAGTCTCTGCCGGGAAGCAAATCTGGTCCGGAGTTTGCTTCCCCGAGATCACAGGCATGAGAACCAAGAAGTTAAAAACCAGGAAAAACCACAAGCCGGCTGAGGTCTCCGGAGAAGACGTTTGCAAAATCCCGCACAGTTGGACCAAGCGCCAAGGTCTCAATCGCCACCCGAGCAGCAACCCTAAGAGGGCGATGGAAGATCTCCCCCCGCCCCACAGCCAGGTGGCGCAGCTTCCACAACAGAGAGCATCATGGGAACGTGCTCAGGCACTCTCGCCATCTGCCTGCTGGAGTCCCAACCGCCGCCTGGTCGGATCGCAGTCTGCCTGGAGTGTGGTGGCCCCGCAGAATCCCCTGGGCTCAGTAGATCACCTCGTAGACTGTGGCCTTCTTGTCCCCCGAGCCCGTGACGATGTACTGGTTGTCCGCTGAAATGTCGCAGCTCAAGACGGAAGAAGATTCTTTCGACTGGAGGCGGGAAAAGAAAGGGAAAGGGAAACTCAGCAGGGCTATAATCAGCTTCAGCAAACGCTGAGGGGTGTCAACATGTCAAGATCTAGCAATACTCAGAGACAATAAGGGTATAAGTGGCGTATCAGAAACATGGCGGAAATGGTGAGGGCTCAATGGAACACAAGAGTTAAAACTGGGTTCCCCAATAAGGTTTGGGTTCCCAGGGTTAGACTGTACTGGTGGTGCTGTGTCGTTCTGGAAAGTGCCAATGGATGCAGATGATAGAACTGACCAACTACAGACACATCTGTCAATGCTGCTGCAATGGATCAAGCCCTCCCCTCATCTACAGGGCTTGCCAAGGGCCTCAAGGAGGTATCCTGCACCCTCAGGCTCTGTTTACAACCCTACCCCTTTCCGTCAGTCCTTTATCAACCCAGCCAATTCGCTTCAGCTCCACTTTGCCTTCCAAGGTCTGTAACAACTCACACCCCACTCCACCCCGATCTGGTTACTCAAGTTAAATGGGGAAAGCACTCTGCTCGTGCTCAGAGGTGCTATTTCCTGTCCCATCAAGTCACACTTTCCAGCTTGCGTCTTGGCACCAAGATGGAATGGTAGAATCTGATCTGTGCAGACACACACACACACACACACACACACACACACACTCTTTCCATTCAGATGGCACCCAAGGCAGGATTTGGATCCTGGTAGCAGGAATGACCCTTACCTGGAATATGCTTGCTCCATAGGGAGTCCTCCAAGCGTTGAGGAGGTTATCTTTCCCGGTGCTCACAAACCACTTCCCTAAAGGCACACAAAGCAGAGTTTCAATTCTCCCAGGTCAGAAAGGAGGCCAGAATAGTGACAGAATCCAGTGACGTGATCCCCAGAAACCCTACAAAAATCTCAACCAGGAAATTCAGCTCTCAGTAGGATTTAACCTAGGAGAGGGAAGACTTGTGGGGTCTCTTTTTTTAACTAGAACCACCAAGAGTCAATGTGGCATAGTGGTTAAGTATGTCAGACTAGGACCTGGGAGACCCGGGTTCAAATCCCCACTTAAGCCATGAAGCTCACTTAATGACTTTTGAGCCAGTCACTTAACCTCCCTCACAGGGTTGTTGTAAAGCAGCAAGGAGAATTATGTATGTCACCTTGAGCTCCTTGGAGGAAAAGTGGGATAATAAGGATATAAAGAAATAAAAAAGGTCTACCAACCAGGGCATGGTACAAAAGGCGTAACACTTGGAATTAAATAATTCTGAGCCCAAGATTTTGCTTTTGGGGACTAGAACTGAACTGGACCCACAAAAACCTTCACTCCTGGTTCCCCCAAAGCTTCTTTCACTTCATAAGTAGAATTTACTCCCAGGGAATGGGGAGTCATTTACTTGTTGCCATTGTAAAACCATGGGAAATCCTTGCAGATCTACCACAAATCACCCAGAGATGGACTGGTTGACTCCAATTTACCACCTTGTCCACCACTCCGATCTAACTTTTGTAAATGACAATAATGGGTTCATACTCTCCTGCAACATATTCTATAACATCCTTCCCCAACCTGGTGCCCTCCAAACATTTTGGACCACAACTTGCGTAAGCCCCAGCATCCTAGGGCTGGCTGGATCTAGTGGGAGTTGATGTCCTGAACATCTGGAGGGCCCCAGGTGGGAAGAGGCTGCTCTAAGTCACAAGAGCAGCCACATCTCAGGTTCCACCATGGAAGGAAAGGAGGTAAATAAACAAAAGCAAGCCACTCCATCAGGTCAAGACATGTTCTGATGTTGCTCTCCTATACCTCGTTCCTGCCACCCAACTAGGAATCTCCCCAGAAATTAAGGTAAGGAGCAGACCAGCATTCACCCCTCCCTATGGGGCTCCCTACAATGCACCTCCCACGATGATAAAATCGTCTCTTAGCAAGCAATATAATCCAAGTGCCATTTTGGCAGCTGCTTTGCACTGAGTCTGTGGTTTATCAAGCCCAGTCCCCTCTATTTGGAAAGGGCAGAGGGCTCTCCAGAGTCTCAAAGAGAGAGAAGGGGGACCTTTCTTGGTGCAGCTACACTGAGGATTGAATCTGGGACATTTCAGACCCTGCAGACCCTTCCCCAAGAAAGAGGCAACTAACTCCGTTAATATTCTGGGCCCCTTACCGCAGTAGGCAAACTTCAGCGACAGGACACAGCTCTCGTGAAGGTGGAGCTGGTATTTGTCCGGCTTGGTGTGGTGGAGAACTTCCACGTTGCTGCTCTCCATGCCCACAGCCAGCCATTCACCTGTGGGGCAGTAGCCCAGTGAGAAGATCTGTGGGGAAGAAAGGAGAGCAGGCCTGAAAGGGGCGTCTCCTCCAGGAAGCAACCACACTTTGAAGTCTGCTTGGGAGGACACACAAATACACTCAAGCTTTAAAATTCAATCCCACTGTATATGGCAAGTGGAAGGAAGAGAAGTTGCACACTGGTAAGAGATGGGGAACTGGAGGAAGAGGGTGTTGGGAGTTTCCATTCCACCTTTAGTAGCAGACATGGGATTGTAACGTGTCACATGTCTGTTTCTTTGTCTTGATTTATGATTAATAAATCCGTAGGTATTAGTATGTATCCACAGCCTCAGCCTCTTCTGTTTGTGCGGTTTACACTGCTACGTATAGTGTGCTCAAGTCAGCTAGCTTGAGTCGCTGATTTACGTCAGAGCCAGAGGTTGATGGAGCTCTGCAGCGTGATGACTGAGAGGGAAATGATCCAGCTGGGGGCTAGCCAGCTGGCCTTTTGACCCCCGGATGCTGACGAGTTCTCCGCTCAGGGCCCTGAGGCTGCTGCACATTCAAGACCTACCTCCTTCAACACACCCCATTGGTAAGGAGGCAGCTTGTCTGGATCAAACCATCTCCTAACCCAGTGGGTCCCAAACTTTTTTGGGCCCCCACCCCCTTGGTTCTATAAACTCATCCCCAGCGCCCCCTACTCTACCAAAAGCATTATTCAGAATAGGACTTTGCCCAACCCACTAAGGAAGGTAATAGCACAATAAAATCCAAAACAATAATTGCATATTTATTCAAAATCCAGTTCAAACTATTGAGTTTAATTCAGTTGACAAAATTGATGGACTTGATTCAGGGATACCAGCTACACCTCCAGTGTCATCTTGCCGCCCCCTTGACTCTTAGGCCCCTCCAGGGGGTGGTACAGCCCCACTTTAGAACCGTTGTCCTAGACAGATTTCCAGAAGAGTTTCCCAACTATTTAAGGGCTCCTTCTCAAGCACGGAGTGCCCTCTTCCTCCTTCAACTCTAGCACTTACTGGGGTGAGATCCCTGCCGTGGATCAAGCTGCTCAAAAGCTCAGCTGTCCCACAAATGCACTCCAAGTCAATTCTCACCAGTACCTGGAGCTGGGTGTGTGGGGTGATGTCTGCAATTGCAGGAGGAAAAGTAAATATAGGGGTGCAAAGGCTCCCGTTTCCTGGCCTTCAGAATTGGAGCACAGCCTAGCATGGAGAGGCTCCCAGCAGCAGAGGCTCCCCTTGTCGGGGTTGCACAGAAACTCCCCTGGCCCATCCACCGGGGCCTCCTTTCAACATCAGAAAGATGCCATCATTTCCACCTCAGCAGCAAGTTCCCAAAGTGCCCCATGAAGGCTCATGTGTGAGGTCCAGCTGAGAGATAGGGAAGGAACTCAGGCTGCCTGGACTGTTCAGCCTGAGGCTTGCAGGTCCAAGAGATACCATTATGAAAGTTGGTAAGGAATAACACTGCCAAGCTTTGCTAGCGAGCACAACAGATGCTCTTGAGCTGTCTGTCCCCTTGTCCAGGCTTTTTCTCTGCTCAAAGCTTCCAGTTTCTGAGCATCCCAAGCAGAGAGAGATGCTGTTACACTCGGGTCCTGCTTGCGGGTTTCCCATTGGGCCACTGAGAGGGCAGGATGCTGGACTAGATGGCAGGATGCTGGACTAGATGGCCTGGTCCAGCAGGGATCTTGGTATGGTCTTCAGAGTTGCTTCTTAAGGAAGCCCTCCATCCTGAGCAGGGCAGTTCCTGGAGGGCTACTGCCTCTAGGAGAAAAGGCTGAGGGAATCCCACACCGGCTTACCTGGGAGGTGAAGTCGTGCTGCTGCAGCTGCCTGCCTTCCCGGAGGTCCCAGGACCGCACCGTGTTGTCCAGGCCTCCTGTCCAGAGTTTGGTGCCATCGTGGGAGATGTCAATACAGCTGGCCCCGTCCGTGTGGCCTTGGAATTGTCTGAGAGAGAAAACCAACATTCAGAGACATTTAGGAGAAGGGCTGTAAGCTCACCGGTGCAGGATCTGCCTTGCAAGCAGCAAGTCCTAGATTCAATCCCCAGAATCTCTAGGTAGGGAAGGGAGAGAATCTTGACTGAAAACCCTGGAGATCTACCGGCAGTCAGTGTAGACCAGGGGTCGGCAACCTAAGGCCCATGGGCCGGAAGTGGCCCACGGATGCCATTTAACGGGCCCCTGAACCAAGCTGCCCGCTCAGCGAGTCCCCATGCGCTGCACTAAACCAACGCAGTGCGGTGTGGGGACTCTCTTCTGTGGCTCCAGAATTTGCTTCTGTGCATGTCCAGATGCCGGAAATTGTGTCTGCGGTGCCAGAAATCGCTTCTGCACATGCCCAGATGCCAAAAATCGCTTCTGCGCAGGCACAATTTTCAGCGTCTGGGCATGCGCAGAAGTGATTTCCAGCACCACGGACATGCGCAGACACGATTTCCGGCATCGCACTGCGCTGGCCCAGCCCATGGAGGATCTCCGCAGGAGTGATCCAGCCCATGCCCAGTAAGCCTTGCAAACCCCTGGTGTAGACAATACTGAGCTAGATGGACCAATGGTCAGACTCAGTGTAAGGCAGCTTCCCATGTTATAGTGAGAGGGGGGAATTTAAGCCTCTACTATCAGGGTCCCAAAGGTCCTTATCTCCAGCTTCCAGTTATTTGGGAAGGGAAGGCTTGATAGACACAGCTGCTGAGGAATCCTGCATTCGGGTTGCAGATAAGGACCTGAGCTGAGCATATTGGGGGGGGCGGGATGACAACTTAGGAAGCCAGGAAGCTTAAAAGAAGTCTCAGAACAGAGGAAGGTCAGTCAGAGCACTGGGCCCAGCTAGCTTAGTGTAGTCTACATGACCCGGCAGCAACTCCCCAGGGTCTCAGACATTCCCTGTGAGAAGGGCCTGCAGGATCAGGCCAAAGGGGTCCCATCAAGTCCAGCATCCTGTTCCCACAGTGGCCAACCAGTTGCCTCAATGGGACAGCAATAGACCCAAGCACAAGAGCCCTCTCTCCTCCTGTGGTTTCCACAACTGATGTTCAGAAGCATTGCTGTCTTCAGCTGTGGAGGTAGAGCAGAGCCATCATGGCCTGACCTGGAGATGCCGGGGACCTTCTGCATGCGAAGCAGGTGCTCTACCCCTGAGCTGTGACCCTTCCCACTCTTCCAGAGCAAAGGGTGAATGAACATGGCGCAAGAATGCAGCTCTTTGAATCCCTTGGTTTCATTTGGACAGATGCTTCCTGCAGAATCTCCTTCCCCATCTCCCCAAGATTTCTTTGAAAGCACTTCCTTACCACCAGGACCTTACTCACCTGACCAGTGTTTGGTTATGGAGATCCCAGACAGCAATGTTGCCGTCGCTGCAACAGGAGAAGCAGACTTTGGCGTCCGGGCTGATGGCCAAGGCGTAGCAGGCAGGGGCGGAGGAGGTCAGCTCTGCCTTGATCCTGGGGGTGGGGGAGGCCAGGTCCCAGATGGTGAGGGTGCTGGCCTCGCCCCCCACAATCAGTGTGCGCCCGTCCGGGAGGAGCTTGCAGGAGCGGATATAGTTGTCCCTGTTCTGGGGGCAGGAAAACATAACGTCAATGAAACAGCCCAGCTTCTAACTCCATGCAAACAGAGTCCACACAGTTCAACTAGCTAACTTTGGGACATTTGACCATTCCAGATACATATAGGGGGATGTTCTCTTAAGAATTAAATATATATATATTCCCCAGAGCAAAATGGACTTTGGGTGCTGAGTTAGGCAGCTTGAGCAAAATATTAATTCTATTACCATAATCTGATTTTTTAAATTGAGACATGATTAATTAGAGGCGAGAATATTATTACATTTTCACTTTTTGCCAAATAATATTGATTAGTTTTCCAAATTTTTAACAAATCAGTGCCAAATTACATCAAGTTTAATACAATTTTTCCAAAAAGTTGACTTCTGGCTCTTCGTCCTAGAAAATTATTACATTCTTGATATAAATGAATAAAGAAGAGGTTGCATTGAGCATGGTAAATGTCCTCTGAAATATATACCATTTCCAAATATAGCAAGCTTATATGTGACCCATGCAAATATTGCTATTGTTCATGTGCATTTATAATGTTTATTTACATATAAATCCATTAAAATACACGGAGAAACAAATGAAGGTGCAAAGAACCCAGGCTGAGTTCCCTAAGACTGGCTGCTGACATGGAAAATCCTCAATCGGTGGCTCAGTCGGACCCAAAGACCAAAGGCTCCTTGGACTTGAGTGGAGGGTCGTCCATCCCCGCCACTTACCAAGCAATCCAGCTGGGAGATGGGGCTCTTGGTGCCAGGCTGGCTGATATCCCAAATCTTCACACATCCTTTCCCACCAGTGTACACGTGCCGGGTAGGGTTGCTGATGGTCACAGCACACACCACCTCGCCATGGCTCAGCGTGTTGATCTGACGGGCGTGCCGGGGGATGCCGGGGCCAGCCAGGGCGTCGTGAGGAAATGGGACAGGTTGCATCTGCCCATCAGCACTCACGTGAAAGGAGTAGGCTCTAGGGAGGAGACAAAGGAAGGGACGCTGAGACTGGTGGTGGTGGAGAATGAGGGCTCTGAAGACCAGTTGCTGGGCACTGAGGTTGCATTCAGGGCCTGATTGCAGGTTTCCCATTGAGGCATCTGATTGGCCATTGTTTTAACAGAATGCTGGACCAGATGGGCTCCCTTTGGCCTGGTCTCAGAACCTAATTTAGATTTCTTCTTTTCCACCCTAAAAAAGCTGATAGTGACAGTGGCTTCCATGAAACGTTATGCCTCTATTTTAGAGGGAGTATATAAGTAACAGAGTTCAGAGGCATCCAAGGCAGGGGGAAGTGTAAGAGAATGATTTTAATCCTCAGGTTTCTTTGCAGCCCTTCATTAAAGCATCTTGCACCATAGCAGTCTAGTCTTGAGAGGTGATGATAAGTCTAAATTCAACACTTAGCTGCTATATCATGCTGGCTTTTCTACTCGTAGTCCTTAGTCTGCGTATTTGAAATATATTGTATAAGACACTGTTTTTTAATGTTTGATGTTTTATTATGTTTTCACATATGCTGTAAGCTGCCCAGCCAGATGGGCGGGATATAAATAATAAAATATCATCATCCTATTCATCCAGCAGCCAGGTTCTTCTGATGCTCTTGTCTGCTACACCCCCACCAGTCTCCTAGGGCTGGTGTAGACCACCCTTCCTAGCAGTTGCCAATTGATTTCTGGGTACAACTCAAGGTGCTCGGATTGGTGTTTAAAGCTCTAAACAACTCAAGCTCCAAATATATGAAAGACCCCCTCCCTCCCTACAGGCCTACTGGGAGGTGAAATTGGCAGAAGGGGCCCTCTTGGTTGTCTCCAGGAGATGACCTTCTTTGTGGTGGCCCCTAAGCTGTGAAACTTGCTCCCCACACAGGTGGCCTCTGGCACCTTTATTCTACAGTTTTCAGTTCATCTCTTCACCCAGGCCTTTGAGGTGCACATTTTTAGCACCCCGCCTTATTTTTATGCTTGTTTTAAATTATTTTCAATATTGTGTTTTAATGCTGTAACTCACCATCGGGACCTTAGGGTGAAGGGCAGGCAATAAACAAAAATTAGCAGCAGTCCCAAGGATTAATTAAGACATCACATCGCCTAACTGTCGCAATGCTATGCAAGTGTGGATGGTGCCAAAACAACCACGAGGAACATCCCACGGGAACATCAACACTTCTGTTCCCTTTTCAAACCCTGCTTGCCTCTTCATTTGAGGAGAATTGGATTTCTGCAACCAGAAACCTCGTCACTGTGCTTGCAGCATTTTTTTTAGACCAAGAAAGCACCCAAAACCTCCACTGGTGCCTCTATCTGGCTCCCTTTCCCCTGCATGTTTATTTTAGACTTGGAGGGGGGGGGAGGTTTTCTGGTTTGGTTTTCAGACTTTTTCTTTCCTTTTTATTAATTCTGATTACGACTCAGGCAGACATATTAAGCCACTCTGATGAGCTCTTCCCTGCCGCCAAATTTACATGGGCAAGGAAAGGGTTAGGGTCTTCCTTAGAGTAGGCCCCCTGTCTGGAGATGGGTGGCAATTGGTTTTCAGACTTGTGGACTGAACGCTTTGGGGGAGAAGGTCGAAGGTCTGACTTACGGCTTCCCTCCGGGGATGGATGCCAGGCTGGTGGACAGGACGGGGGTCCTCATCGGCGGGTGCGGGTCAAAGCCAACCTGGGAACCAGACAAAAGTGAAGACATCAGGAGCCTGGGAAAAACAAAGATGTACTCTCACAGGCTCCCACAGAAACCACCCAGCAAAGTGCTGCTGACTGGAGTGGAAATTCAGTTCTCACAGAATTGCGGTCAGTTGGTTTTTTTCATGAGAGGAGGGGAGATAGTTAGGGAAAGACCCCTCCTCCAAGGCCAGAAAAATGAGCATCCAATTCTTAAGTCTGGGGGTGGGGGCTTTCCCCTTGTTCCACAGGCACTTCAGACCAACATAACATGGACTAAATGGCACAGAGAAAGCTGCCTTATACTGAATCGGACCATTGGTCCATCTCACTCAGTACTGTCTGCACTGACTGGTAGCGGCTCCCCAGGGTCCCTACCTGGAGATGCTAGGAATCGAACCTGGAACCTTCTGCATGCAAGGCAGATGCTCTGACCACTGAGCTACAGGGGCCAGAAATGGAAGAACTAGCAAACGATAAACTAGGAAGGTCCTGTTAGGCAACAGGCCCAGAGGGGCATCAGAAACTGCCTCAGACCATTGACCCATATAGGGCCACTTTCACACTCTAAATTTAAAGCATTCAAATACCACTTTATATACAGTCATGCCTTTCCCCCAAAGAATTCTGGGAGCTGTAGTTTGTTAAGGGTGCTGAGAGAGATCTCCCTCACAAAGCTACAGCTCCCAGAGTTCCCAGGATTGGTAGTTAACCCACCCCTCACCCACCCACCCCCCATTGAAAAAGGAGCTAAAAAGGTTTTACGTACAGCTCCAAAGCTCACCATTGGTGACCGGCCATAGGCAGCGGCAGCAGCGGCGGCGGCAGCCGTCATCTGAGGTGGGATGTTATGAAGGCTGGCGTAGGCCCCAGGGCTGGTGAGGGAGCCGTTCATTTCATGGTGCCCCATCATGGCAAAGGGGGTGGCATAGGAACCGGCGATGGAAATGGGTGTCCTCAGGGCAGATGCTGGAGAAGGAGAAAAAGGGAAAGGGGGGGTGAGTGGATCAATTACTTGGGGGAAGAAACGCTGACTGTGGTCACCAACTTGGATGGCTTTGAAAGAGGATTGGACAAATTCATTGGGGAGAGTTGTCAGTGGCCAGTAACCATAATAAATAACAACAACAGTTATTGTTGTTGTTGTTCTTTTATTTATATGCCACTCATCTGACTGGGTTACTCCAGCCACCCTGGGCGGCTCCCAAAATATTAAAAACACACAAAAAATCAAAGATAAAAAACTTCCCTGAACTGGGCTGCCTTCAGATGATCTTCTAAAAGTCATCTGTTTGACATCTGATGGGAGGGCGTTCCACAGAGAGGGCGCCACTACCGAGAAGGCCCTCTGCTTGGTTCCCTGTAGGTTCACAGCTTGCTGTGAGGGAACTGCCCAAAGGCCCTTGGAGCTGGACCTTAGTATCTGGGCTGGGCAATGGAAGTGGAGATGCTCCTTCAAGCCGTTTAGGGCTTTAAAGGCTATGCTCTGCTTCCACAGCTGAACACAGTAATGCTTCTGAGTACCAGTTGCTGGAAACCAAAGAAGGGGGGAGTCCTCTTGTGCTCTGGTCCTGCTTGGGGGCTTCTCTCTGGGGTCTCTGGCCACTTTGAGAAGAGGATGCTGAACTAGATGGGCCACTGGCTCATTTATATCTCTCACCTTTCCAAGGTTATGTACATACTTCTCCCCCCCCCTTTATCCTTACAACAACCCTGTGAGGGAGGAGAGGCTGAGAGGCAGCGACTGGCCCTTGGTCACCCAATTACATTCATGGCCGGGTGGTAATTTGAACCTCAGTGCCTTAGGTCCTTGCTCAACAGTCTAACCACTACCCCACACTGGCTGGTGATTTGAACCTTGGTCTCCTAGATCAGAGCTTTCCAAAGTTTTCATGTTGGTGACACACTTTTTAGACATGCGTCTTTTCAGTTTTACTAACAAACCAGAGGTTAAACTAACCCCTTTCCGGCCCCTGGAGGAGCGTTGGGAGTGTCTGTGCCGTGACACACAGTTTAGAAAGCTCTGTCCTAGTCCTACATTCTAACCACTGGCCTGCGCATTCTCTTCTGTGACAGGCTGCTCAGATTCGTAGAAGGAGGGGTGGAACGGCGGGTCAGACAAGCAGGAAGCTGGGAGTTCCCTGTCCATTCCACACAAACACTAAAACCTATGCCCTCTCTAGGCCAGTCTTTTAGCACCAAACATTGCTTTGCCTTGGCAGAAGTGGTAAACACCCGAACCACACGCACAACAACCCTGCGAGGGGAGCCACATACCTAAGGGATCCATTCCAGATGGCTTGCCTGGCATCGGCCGAAGGCCCGGGGTGGTGCTTGTCCCGGGCGTTGGGGCATCGTTCCTTGGAGTAGGGGTGTTGGACTTCAGCCCTGGGGTGGAAGATTTGTCGTTCTGGTGCAAAACAAGATTGGGGAAGATGGGTTGGCATCAGCAAGATCGATTCCACAAGTGCTTGTGGGGTCTCTTAGCAAACAAACAATTTGGGAGGAGGTTTTGGCTCAGTGGGAGTGCATCTGCTTTGCATGCAGAAGGTCCCGGATTCAACCCCCAGCAGCATCTCTGGGTAGGGCCGGGTGAGACCCCTCCCTGAAAAGCTGGAGGGCTGCTGCCCATCAGTGCAGACAGTACTGAATGAGCTGGACCAATCGTTTGACTCAGTGGTCTACCTCAGGAACCCAATTCTGAGATCTGCCTCCATTTGACATTTTGGCAAGTTTGGCTTTCTGCTTTCTTCCTACGAAGGATCCTGAAACAAAGTCAGTCTTCTGCATTTGCTGAGATTCCCGAAATGAAGAAGACTCTCTGAGCAGAGCCACCCACCAAATCTGAAACCTCAAATAACTCAAATCTATGATCAAACCCCTCCTCAGTTTACTCCAAGATGGAGTTTTGAATTCTTCTAGTCAAATGTGGACTCTCCTATATTTCTTCTTAGCAAGCATGGAAAATTTTGAACATTCGTTCTGGCTCTTGCTTCAATGCAGCTCTTCTCAAATGCCAAGGAGTTACCAAACATTACACATCAAAGCATGTTCCGATCAGTAAAGCATTTCCCTGGATCCTTTGGGTGGGGGTTCTGTGCCCAGCGCCCCCAACTATTGCCCCAAGGCAAGCATGTTCTTTGCTTCTCCAGCACACAGATGGGAAACAAAGACCTAGACTGTTGACTTTAAACTGGCTTGAAACGACAGCTGCTTTCTGGACCAATGATCTGCACAGCAAAAAATGGTCCCATCCACAGCAATTATTACCACGCCCTCTTCTATGTGATCAGGTCTATTGAATCGCTCCTGATCTCCACAGTCCGATTCATGCATTTATAGGTCACCTTTTCTTCCAAGGAGCTCAAGGTGGCAAACGTTCTCCCCTGCCCCCCTCATTTAATCCCCTGAACAACCCTGTGAGGTAGGCTAGGCTGAGAAGCAGGGAGTGGCCCAAGGTCACCCAGTGAGCTGAATGGCTGAGTGGGGTTTTGAACCCTGGTCTGTCCCAGTTCCTAGTTTCATAGAATTGTAGAAATGAAAGGGATCCTGAGGCTCATCTAGTCCTTCAATGCAGGAATCTCAACACATGGTCCCCCATCCAATTTGAAACCATGCCAGACCCTGCTTGGCTTTGCAAATGTGCTAGCAGTTTTATTGCTGCGCCACTAGGTTAAAGACTCTAATCACTACACCAACGCTGCCTTTCTCTACGTTCGCTCGTAAGCTGGACTTCTGCTCCTCCAGGGAGAACCAGCCCCACAGTCCACCCTCAGCAAGCATTCCCAAGAGGCCTTCACTTACATGGCCCAGGTCTTTAGTCTTGGAGGAAGGGGTGCTGCTGGATGAGGCCACCGAGGCAGGGCTGTTGGGGGCATCCTTCTTCAAGCCACGGGCTTTGTCGATCCCGTTCTCCGGAGGCGAGTGGGCAGGGCTCACCCGAGGCGTAGCAGGATCCTGGGGAGCAGGGAACACAAGGAGGCTGTTAGCAACAGGGGCACCATGGAGTCCCTTTGCCAAAGTAGGAAGGAGGGGACCGCAAAACACCCTAACATAACACATTTACTTGGTATACTAAAACATATTTACGTGTGTGTGTGAGAGAGAGAGACTTGCAAACTTATGAGACTTTACAGACTTATTCTGAGGCACATAGCAGCATAAAACAAATTGCTGCTGCTCTCAAAGAAAAGTTCACTCTCTACAGTTGATAACAGACCTAACCGGTGCGGGGGGAGGGGAATTGCCTATTGGGGTGACATCCTAGGGTTCTATACTGCATTCACTCTTTCCAGAGCATTTTGGATGCAGCCCTGACCCCCCCCCTCCCGTAAAGCCACTGGATGCCCACAGCTTCTGCATCAAGAGATTATGCACTTAAAAGAAGCCTGGCAAATCTGCTCCATCTCCATATAAGGTTAATGTGGACTTCTTGTTTCAGACTGAGAGGGAGAGGGACCCTCTGTCGTACCTCATTGGAGACGTCCACCACCAAGTCATCACTCTTGTCACCGTCGCTGTCCTGAAACAAGAAGCAGTGACTCAGTTGAAAGACAGAAAACGCCTCCTCCTTAAAGCCTGCAAGGGCTGCCTAGGACGACACCCCCTTTGCCTACTGCAAAGTAGTGGATGAGTCATTATTAGTCCTGCAGCTACACTGCCCCTTGGCAAGATGACAGGTTTGCACTTGGGGGGGAAATATGATGTGACTCTTGCGATTGTCACAGTTTGAGGTTTGTCCCGTTATCATATGTGTTCTGTTTTTGTGAACCGCCCTGAGATCTATGGTCCTTGGCCAAAACAAGGTCAGATGGAGAGCACAACAGGGACCTGTAAGACTTACATATCGGCTCATGCTATCCTTCTCCTCTGCTTTCCGCTTCTTGGAATCGATGCTGTAGTCGGTGGGATTCCTGTGCTTCTCGCTGGCTCTCAAACTCTCTGATGGGGAGATGGAGTTATTCTAGAACAGAAGGAGAAAAAGAAGAGAGGGTTGTGCTACCTGCTTGCCTCTTAGCGCCCCCCCCCCCCGTTATTATCTCCCCCTGCCCCGCCTTGAGGTGGTACCACCCATTTTGGGAACCACTGCCCCAAACCATCCCAAGGCAGAAAAGCACAACAGCACACAGCCAACTTGTGTGCACGTTTCAGACACATGAATTAGAAACCGTGCACCAATCTTAAAAGTGAGAAGCGAGTTTGTTTCGATTTGTGGTCCCTCGTCCCCTTTCTAGAGCTAAGACTTCCTAGTGCAGTTTCCCCAGCCCAGTGACACCTCCAGGTGTTCTGGACTACGAAACCCATCAACCCCAGTCACAGCATTGATGCCAAGGGCTGATGGGAGTTGTAGTTCCAAACACCTGGAGGGTGCCAGTTTGGCGAAGGACATCCTGTCTCGCAGCCAAATAAATGTGCTTTTTAAAAGTTTTGCAAGTATGTGATGACTTTATATGTTTGTATTGCTCTGAACTGCTTTGATGTATATTTTTATGCAAATATTTTTATTAATTAATAATTGGGGGGGGGGAAGCTCAGGCTTAAACTTTACTGCCACTGCATGTCGCACACAGAACGCAATTCTGAAAACAGCTGCTGGCCTCTTGGCATCTCCTGCCTCTGTAGCCAAAATTACAGGCATTTTGTTTCTCCACAGAACTCAACCCTCATTCCCCCCCCCACCCGGCAAAAGCCTTTTGCTAAAGATAAAGTGACTCTAAGCCAGCCCCCATCCTCCCTTTCTTTCTTCTCTGAATGGGAGAAGCCCAGCAGTTCATGTTTCCCTCCTCGCATCCCCAATAAGCTGCTTTGGGGATCAACCAGCCGCCTTTTCTTCTCAGCCAGTCATGCTGAAAAGGCTCACGGTTCCCGAGGAAGAATCGCATTAGGGCCTCTGGAGGCACTGAGGCAGGCAGGCAGGCCGCCAAGAATCTCCCCTCCTCAGAATACATCTATCTCGATATTTTTGCTGCTGCAGCAACCCAATTAGGAAATGTGAACAAAGCAACCTGGAGATGGATCTATGAGTGTCAAGGCCCTGCCCCCCTCACCCTAATTTGGCAAAAGCTGCATCCCCCAGAAACTCCCCCACCAGCCCCTTCATGAGAGCTTTCGGGGGAGGGGCTGCTGAGGACCATCTCCCCATGCCCTGTCATGGCTCTACCCTGTCATGGCGTCTGACACTCTGAGGGGCCGTTGGCGTCCCTCAGATGGGCAGGAAATAAAAAAAAGGGGGGAACTTTGCACCTCAGGGGCATCCCCTCCTCCAGTTAGAGCTGAGAGGTGGAGAATAGCTACAAAGACCCCTCCCTCACCCTTCCTCATATTCAAAGGATGATGATAATGAGGGCTTGGGCCACTTTGTTCCTGCTCTCCTCACAGCCTCTCTTCCAACACAGAAAGAGTAAGCGGAGCCCTCATAACTGTAGCTGGAAGCTGAGCCCCATCAAGGACCATTAATGTCCAGATGGATGGCGACGAGGGAGCAGGGCGGGGGGCCGCCGTCCTCAAGAAGCTGAGTTAACTGCCTGACCTTCCACGTCCCTGCCTCACACAACATAATCACCCAAGTCCTTCCCAAAAGATTAGATGACCCAAGATAATGGAACAGCTACCAGCAATGAAATTGCTTCCTAATTGCTGAGGGGGCTTCTCGCTTCACTCCCCCCCCCTCAATCCCCCAGGTCATCAGCTCAGACTGAACCGCTCTCGTTGGCAACGGTTGAGACAATATCAACAACAGCCAAATGGTTAGAAAAAGCAGTAGAAAAGTCAACATAAATCAGTGGTTTTCCCTCCAGGGAATCCCACCACTATGGGCAACCTTTGCCAAACTGGTGCCCTCCAAGTATTTTGGACCACAGCTTCCCTCCAGTAGGGATCTCGGATGTTGGGGGTGATAGGAGCTGGGTCCATAACACTTAGAGGAAACCAAGTTGGCAAAAGCGGATGCCAACCAAGCTGAATCCAATGATCTCAAGACCATCCAAGTAGCAGGGAAAGTCTAAGCAGAGTGGAATCCAAGGAAAACAGTGGCAGAACCAAAGCTCAGGGGTACAGCAGCTGCCTCGCATGCAGAAGGCATGAAGTTCCATGTTCAACGGTGTCTCCGGATAAGGCTGAAAATGTTCCCTGCCTGAATCCCACGACAGCCCAGCCCAGATATTCCTGACTCTGGAATGGAGAAACGTTTTTCTGGGGAGTTGAAGTTTCTAAAACAGTGACATTTGGTGGAAGGAGAGCCCAAGCCCAAGGAATGGCAAAACTCATCAAGCGTTCAATACGAAGATGGTGTGATGTCCAGAGGGGAAGAAAAGGGGACTTACTGCACTGGCGTCCCGATCTTCCAGGAATGAAGGCCGAGTTGGCACGGAGGACGGAGGCAGCCGAGTTGAAAGGGAGCACAAAAAGAAGTGGGTGGGGAAGGCAGGGGGAAAGAGAGAAAGTCTTAAAATAGAACATCAACCCAACTGTTCCTTTGCACGTAGCGATCTCTGGTCTGGCTTGATAAAAAGCCCCGCTGGCCTTTTCATCTTTGTTCTCTGGAAGGAATCTTGGCCCAGACGGCAGCAACCCCCTCGCTCCTTTTATTTTATTTTTTGGCAAACAATTACTGGGCCAAACAAGCAGCACCACACAAGGGGGAAAAATGGAACAGATATACAAAGAGGAAAAGGGGCAACTAAAAAATAAATAACTGCAAAATGGTTTGTTGACACGTTTCTTTCCAAATCTGGAGGAAGAAACCCATTTCCTTCCCATGTTGGTCCTTAGACAGAGAGATTTCTCCGGCAACTAACTAGACGGCTGTTTTCTGTCAAGGGAAGAAGGCTGGAAAAGCCCTTTTGCTGGTGGAAGAGATCCACAGATCCTTGGGGGGGGGGGATGTAGGAATTTCACTAGTCTGGGAATGGATTGAGACATGGGTGGAGAACTTCAGTCCCAGAGTGGCCCTCAATGCATTTCTATCTGGCCCCTGGTTACGCTTTTCCCAGGCCCTCTCCTGTCCTCTCCCTCAAGTGCATTTTCCTGCCTCAAGAGGATGGAGCTGTGGGCATGTAGAAACACCTGCCTTTTGTTTGGTTGGGCCAAGGGCACAAAAAGAGCCACACCCAATTACTCTGCCCTCTCTTGCCTCTGGCTGCCTGCGAGAGGATGCTGCCCCTGAACTGATAAAGAGTCCCTCCCCCTGGATTAAGGCAAAAACATTTTGGGGAAACCACATGCCTACATTAATGCCACCCCCTGAGTTTCCCAGACTGCATATGTCCACACAAGACATTTAAAGCACATGGCTCCCCCTAAAGAATTCTGGGAACTGTAGTTCTCCAAGGGTCTGGGAACCGTAGCTCTGTGAGGGTTAAACTACAGTTCCCAGGATTCTTTGGGGGAAGCCATGCGCTTTGAATGGATGGTGCATCCTTCCTAAATGGAAATTACATCCACAACCCACTTTAGAAGAAGGGGTTCAGAGGCCCGCCTGCCCTCTTCTCACCTCGGTGGTCCAGGTCGTGGTGGTTCTTCTCATCTTTCACCGTCAGGTGGGCTTGGCTCCCCAGTGCCCCGAGAGCCAGGAGCCCCGAGCTGCTCCCCGTGACTGGTGGGATCCCAGGTGGTGGCAGGCCCGAGGGGTGAGGCGGGAGCTGAACAGGGGGGCCGTGGGCCGCATGGGAGAGGTGTTGGGCCTGGAGCTGCTGCTGCTGCAATAAAGCCAACGGTAAGAAGCGCTGCGACGAGACCTGGTGCATCACTCTCACAAAAACCAAATCAAATCCAGATGGTCCAATTACATTGACAAAAAAGGAAGGAAAGGAAAACTTGAGCTTGAAAGGACAGTGGCTGCAAAGTTGGGAAACGGTTAGTACTTCAAGCCTTCATGCAAGAAAAAAATAAATACAAAGTTGTAAAAAGTTGCTTATTTACTTTTGGGCATCACACCCATAATTCTAGATACAACTGAGTTTACATTGTGTGTTTTTTAAAGGCGAAACAGTATAAAGGTTATGCACTTTGATACGTGCTAAGGATAAGCATTTATTGCCTTGAGTTTTACTGACAGTACTTAAAAGCTCTGCAATCTGGAATTCCGAGATTTGAATGGCAAACGTGGGCCAGGTTTATTTTTGGCTTTAGGCCTGGGGAATCAAACCTAAAATGAAACATTAAGCAAGTGAAAGTGCAGGCTGCGGAGAAGGGAGGGGGAGGAGAGAGAAAGACACAGAGAGAGAGACTTTCAACAAGAACTGCAAACCAATCAAAAGAAGAAGAGAATGCAGGCAAGATTAGGAACATAAGAGGAGACTGCTGGATCACTCAAGTGGCTCATCCAGTCCAGTTTTCTCTTCTCATAGTGGCTGACCCAATGCCTGTGGGAAACCCTCTCCCCTCGGTGGCTTCCAGCAACTGGTATTCAGAAGCACAGCCTAGCCACTGGTTTTTGTTTTGTTGCCGGCGACCCTGAAAGGATTTAGCATCCTGAAAGCCAGGATGATGGTGGTGGTGTGGTGGTGGTAATAACAAGGTATGCAAACTTTCCCAATCCTAGCCAAGGCCAAAACTGCACCGATAGCATTTGCCTTCCTGCCAGAGCATTGGAAAACCTGAAGCTTGCGCCTGTCCTTAGTTAATTATCCCCTCCTTTCCTCTAGGAGAGTCTTTGTCAACTTGCTGCCTACCTCCAGGTGTTTTTCCACTGCCACTCCCATCAAACCCAGCCAGGCACTGGGGGGACAGGCCACACTCAATGCCAGGTAGTTAACCACACTCACTTGGGGCTCACAATCAGGGTGGCAAGAAAGGGGAGCACTTTGCAGTGCTTCAGTGTGTGTTAGCAGGAGTGTGTGTGTGGGGGGGGGTTAAAGCTACTTCCATTTTAAAAAATGAAGGGGTGATAGCTCCCCCGCCATTAGTTGCACATAACAGTGTGGTCTTGTATGGCATTATTTATCAGTATGCATTTAATATTAATTTACTTATGGACAGATTAATTTTGGGGGGGGTTATTAACTGTAGTAATATTAAACTTTCTCTCTTTTTAAGGAATCCAATCTTACTTATTTCACAAAATTTATATACCACTCGATTGCAAAAAAATAAAACCCTCACAGTGGTTTGCAAAAAACAAAAACAAAAGATACACAGTGTTATCAATAAAAAGAATTAGCAACCATAGTTTAAGATTTCCAAAAGGTTAAAATAACAACAAACTAAAAACAGATTAAAACTCGCGTCAACTTTCTCAACATCTGGGTAGGCTTGCCTTTAAAAAAAAATGTTTTTAGGAGGTGCCCAAAACAGTACAGGGAAGGTGTTTGCCTGATATCAGTATCTTGTGTGTTTGGCAAACCTGCGTAAGCTGAGACAAACATGAGCAAAAGTGTGATACGCGCACATGCATTTTCACCAGAGGTTTTTAATCAGAGGTTGGCTGGCCATCTGCCAGGGATTCTTTAGGTGCGATTCCTGCACTGCAGGGGGTTGGACTAGATGACCCTCGGGGGTCCCTTCCAACTCTTACCATTTTTCAAAAATAGAAACAAACCAAGGAATAAGTATGCAAGTGATCTCATGACAGCTGCCTGAAGCTAGGAACCTCTTGTTGTCCTGTCCCCTCGGCCTCCCAAGTTCATCTCAGCGGATTACACAAGATCACTTAACAGGGATCAGTTACCTCTGTAGCACAACACAGGCTCACCGGCAGGGCAAAGGGGAGAGAGGGGGGTGTTAAAGAGCATGTGCCAGATCCCTTTCATTTGCTGTGGGTCAAGGTGGGGTTCCTGGGAGCAAGGAGGTTAAATGATGCAGGGCAAGTTGAAAGCCTGGAAATTCTCCCTCCCTCTCAGTTTTGCCCCGATCTGGGTGGAAGGCTGACTTGCAAGTCCGTAAAGCCAACTTGGGTGGTGGGTGGGAGCACTTATATAACGGTGATACAAAAGGATGCCATATGTTCAGTGTGCAGGGAAGAATTTCTGTTAGGATATGAGAAGTTACGGCCACCATATAAGGACGTCTGGGCAGATGAATATCTTGGTATGTAGAGTGGTTTTAATTGGATTATGTACATCCTGCTTCATGGCTTTGTTAACCGATTTAATGGTTCACCACTTGCATTAAATTTAGTCAAGTCTTCTAATCATTTCCAGAGCTACAAAGTGAATCCAGGACTCGGTTTCAGAGGCTTGAAGCAAGGCAGGGGTGGGGAGGGACAGAAAGTCAACCGCTTTGAGGTTTCTCTATAATCAAGTGGCGTATAAATTTTATGAAACACACAGCAAACAAACAAATAAATGATTGTGCCCTGGGTGCACAAGGCGACTGGGAGGGAGGAGGAGAGCCAAACATGTGGTCATGTTGCGCATTACTCTGATGCTTCTGCCTTATGTGTTCTTTCTTCCAAAAAGGTGCAACGCTGGACAGAGATCCTGCACTTTCCTTATAGCTCTGAGTGCAGTGCAGGGACTGGCAAGGAGACACAGTTGTTGTTGTTGTTTAGTCGTGTCCGACTCTTCGTGACTCCATGGACCAGAGCACGCCAGGCACTCCTGTCTTCCACTGCCTCCCGCAGTTTGGCCAAACTCATGCTGGTAGCTTCGAGAACACTGTCCAACCATCTTGTCCTCTGTCGTCCCCTTCTACTTGTGCCCTCCATCTTTCCCAATATCAGGGTCTTTTCCAGGGAGTCTTCTCTTCTCATGAGGTGGCCAAATTATTGGAGCCTCAGCTTCAGGATCTGTCCTTCCAGTGAGCACTCAGGGCTGATTTCCTTAAGAATGGAGAGGTTTGATCTTCTTGCAGTCCATGGGACTCTCAAGAGTCTCCTCCAGCACCATAATTCAAAAGCATCAATTCTTTGGCGATCAGCCTTCTTTATGGTCCAGCTCTCACTTCCATACATCACTACTGGGAAAACCATAGCTTTAACTATACGGACCTTTGTTGGCAAGGTGATGTCTCTGCTTTGTAGGATGCTGTCTAGGTTTGTCATTGCTTTTCTCCCAAGAAGCAGGCGTCTTTTAATTTCGTGACTGCTGTCACCATCTGCAGTGATCATGGAGCCCAAGAAAGTAAAATCTCTCACTGCCTCCATTTCTTCCCCTTTGATTTGCCAGGAGGTGATGGGCCCAGTGGCACCCCGTGATGAAGGGGCTTGAATAACTCAGAGAAGCTATGAGCTATGCTGTGCAGGGCCACCCAAGATGGACATGTCATAGTGGAGAGTTTTGACCAAATGTGATCCACCTGGAGCAGGAACCAGCAAGACACTCCAGTATCCTTGCCGAGAAAACTCCATGGACAAAGGAGACACAGTACCTGCCTCTATAGTTCTCCCTTGGCTTGTTCCTTCCAGAAACACGGAAGTTGGGGGGATACACCTTTTCTTGGGTGCTGCAAGAGACACATTCTCAGACTGATGCACCAGACAGGCCTCCATAGGAGATGTACCGCAAGCTAAGTGGCAGAACATGTGCCTGGCATGCAGAAGGCCCCAGGTTCAATCCCCAACGGCATTGCCAAGAAGAACTGGGAGAGTTTCCCTGAGAGTCGCGGCCAGTCAGTGCAGACAACACTAAGCCAGATGGACCAAGGACCTGACTCGTTACATGGCAGCTCCCAGTGTTAAGAGAGCGCTGCTTCAGTCTGCATCAAGGGATAGGAGATAATCCAGGAAGTCTCTCTTGAGACTCCAAAAAGGCTCAAGGAATTTCAAGTGTTATAGTTAAGAATCTAAAAAGAGCCTACAGGATCAGGCATATGGCCCATCTATCTGGTCCAGGATCTTCTCACAGTGGCCTACCAGATGCCTGGAGGAAACCAGCAAGCAGGATTCGAGCGCAAGAGCCCTCTCCCCTCCTGTGGTTTCCCAAAACTGGTATTCAGAAGCATTGCTTCCTCCAACTATGGCAGCAGAGCAGAGCCATCACGGCTAGTAGGTTTGTCTGAACAAAAATGTCTTTAGCAGGCACCAAAAAGAGTACAGTCAAGGCACCTGCCGGATATCAATAAACAGGGAATAAGCATAAATCACTCCATGTATGAGATAAGCCAACAAGTGCAAGGTCGGCCAAGGCAATTGCTATGTTAATGGCCCAAGCCTAACTATAGGTGATAAAGGCATGTCAGCTCATGTGTCTTGTGCTGTGTGTCAAGGTCAGTCTTGAGAAGTGAGTTCGAGTCTGTACAATGTCTAGAATTGTTGCAACAATAGAAATACTTAATGTTCTGTATCTGCAAAGCCTACTAGCTATATGTATTTATCAACGTCCAGAACTGTGTTACTGAAGCCTTATCTTCTGCAGCAATAAACTATTTTGGACTTTAAGCTGCCTCTGTGGACAACTGCCACTACGTAAGATTCCCAACAGTTAAGGGCTTTATAATATAATAATAACACCCTGAACTTGGACGGTAGCAAATTGGCAACCAAGACAGATCTCTGAGCAGAAGTCTAATATGCTGACAAGGCTCCCACTCCTGTCAGCCATGCATATATTTGAAATTTTGCCTTCTCCTCTCTCTCTTATTCTCACCACCACCTCAATCTCCTGGTTAAGAGTCATTTCTTGGTTGGTCCTCAGTAAATGTGAAAGCAAGCTACATTTCCGCCTAAGCCAAGCGCAACCTTGTCAGCCTTCTGAGTCAGAGAGAGAGATCCACAGGAGCACAATAATTCCTGCTTTGGAGAAATCTGTCAGGTGGGCCATTATCCGCTCTCAGAGCTGAGAGAGGCTTGCACTCCATCTCATCCAGGAAGCAATTACCTGCTGGAGGAGGGCGGGGGTGGGGTGGGGGGTTCAGAGGCCTCCATTGTTTACCTAAATTGAATTCCAATATCTGCCTCTGGCTGCGGTGACCTGCCTTGCAGCCTTTGAAAAGAGGAGCCCATCCAAGCACAGAGCAGTCTCCCCCGCCCCCGCCCCCATTTCATACTCTTCCCCCACACCAAGCAGCAAAGCCCCCCAAAACAGCATTCACACCATCCATTTAAAGCACTATGATGTCCCTTCAAACACTCATGGCTTCCCCCAAATAATTATGGGAGATGTAGTTCATTAATGGTGCTGAGAGTTATTAGGAGACCCCTATTCCCTCCACAGAGCTACAATTCCCAGAGTTCCCTGGGAAGGAGGGATTAATTGTCAAAGAACAGTAGCCCTGCAAGGAGCATGTGTGTCTCCTAACAGTACTCAGCACCCTTAATGAACTACAACACCCAAGATTTTGGGGGGAGGAAATGTTCCACAAACATGGGGATACCACTGAGAAGGGCCGTTCCATTCTCTCATCACCACCCTTCGGGTATCCCAAGTGTGGCACCCTGAGAAGGGTCTCAGATTAAGACGACGAGATCTGGGAAAGCTCATGCAGTCAAAGACCTATAAAAGCAGAGCTATTTTTCTAGAAAAAGAGGTGCTGGAACTCCCTATAAATGCCTCCCTTGTTCGCTTATAATGGTAATGGTGCCCACCTGAGAGGTGCCCGTTCCGGCAAGTTCTGACTGAAAGAACAACAATGTGGCTAAGATATGAGGGTCCTGGACCCTCTTAAGACTTCATAGGTGTAAGAACAATTTGGCAGCCAGTACAGTCAGGACATAACTGGCAACGTATGTTTGGACTTTCTGGCCACCGTCAAAAATCTGGCTGCCAACAAGCACAAGCAGCTGTTTCCAAACAGTCTTCAAGGGCAGCCCAGAGTTTAACACTGGTAATCTAACCTAGACCTGACAGGCAGTAATCTAACCTAGACCTGACAGGCCTCTCCATATGAAGTTGTCTCAAGGTATTTGGAGACTAGGGTGGCTGCACCAACTGCAAGGCACCCAGAGGGGCAGCAAAGTGGGCCCCACCCACCACGAACGAACAAGGCCCATTCAAAGTGTTTCCATATGTCATCACATTCCTTTGTCTGCAATGAATGGGGAAAGCTTTGATCTGCACATTAAAGTTCCTCCACTCCAAAATACAGTCCTCCCCTCCAAAGGAGTCCTTTGCAGAGCAAAACAGTCTTGTCACTGTTGCAAGAAGTCTATTTCCATGGGCCATTATAACCATGCAGGAAGAAGAGACACACACAGAGAAAAATATGCCTAAGAAACAAGAAATTTGTTAAGGGGCAGAGGGATGGGGGGGGTTTGAATCTGGTGTCATAGCAAGGCTGTTTTTTGACCCAAGGGTTCATCTACCTTCATTTTCACAAGCAAACATGAGAGAAAACAAACACGTAGAATTCCAAATACTACCATTCACAATCAGAAGAACTACAGCAGAAAAACAAACAGGAAAGAGTTCCAGGTCATGTCATGTTAGCAACATCAACAGGAACAAGAAGTTAAGTAACTAAAACATCCATTATTGAGGGAGGGACTCAGCTGAACAAAGGCAAAGCCCTGGCTTCCCTGTGACCTAAACCCAAGGGGATTCTTTCTTGCCCTGACTCTGCATCACTGGCAGCCAACATGGGACTCTATTTTGAACCACAACTCTCAGAAGGTGGGGATGATGGGAGCTGCAGTCCAGCAACACCTGGAGGGACAAAGTGTTAGCCACACCTGTGCTGCCTCAATGCATTTGGGAGGCTGTTTACCAAAGAACCAGGAATCAGCTCAGAAGCGGCAGGTGTTTTGAGTCAGCAAATAAAACCCAGTTAGATAGAGCCTGTAAGATCTGCAGCACCTCCTGGAGCAAGGCAAGGCAACGGAAACACCAAACTGCCCCAGTTCAACATCACACATTGCACTACAACGGCGAAACAGAGACAGAACAGACCTCAGCGAAGCCAGGAGAAGGGCTAGCAATTGATGACCATTTTTTAAATATGTGTGTGTGTGTGTAACACAAAGGAGAATGAACTCCAAGATTCTTCAGGAACGTTTTGAAGCAAAGCTTCCCATATTGCATCCTGCAGGATCTGCTGAGGAGCAAATAAAAAGGTAAAGGGACCCCTGACCATTAGGTCCAGTCGTGACCGACTCTAGGGCTGCGGCATTCATCTCGCTTTATTGGCCGGGGGAGCAAATACTCTGGGCTTAATTTCATAGTCTAGTTCTAGATTTGCCAGGCATGCAAGGAAGGTCATCTTGCAAAGAATGTATATTTTTTAAAAAACAAAATTCACAGAGGGATCTAAGTAAGGAAATAATGCATTAAATATATATATATTAGTGAATGCTTTGCACATTCCATTAATGCCCACAGTTACTCCCTGAGGGGCAGGTCCCTGTTGGCACCATTTTGCATTATGCCAGCCAGCCCATCTATGTCACAGCAGGTTTTCCCAACTGGGCCATGTCAAATTTGGCTGTAATTCCTGCACTGCAATGGGTTGTGGAGGGGGGGGCGGTGACAAATTTTGGGCTCGCTTCCCCCACCCCTTGTGGGACAAGGCAGTGTGCAGCCAACAGATTCCATGTCAAAGCACTCTAGAGACCCACGTGGTATGAAAAGTTGGACCGCCCTGGTGTGGATGATGTTGAGCTACATTGGCAAAAGGGCCTGACTCTGTATAAGGCACCTGCCTCTTACAGTTTATCTGCACATTGGAGGTGAAGTAGCTCCGGGACTGGAGGGGAAGCTGAGCTTGCTCCATCAGGCCCCCTCAACTGTCATCTGGGGGGCAGTCATTGCCTCAGATTGACGCCATGGGAGAGATTTGCTGGAGGCCCAGCTCTATTGGGCATCTTCTGCCCTTGAACTGCAGCAGCAGGTCATTCTAGAAACAATTGTTCAGAAATTGGAGATTTCATTTTCCTCTTTCCTCCTTGTCCCCTTTCCCTTGAATGCCTTGTCTTTTTTGGATTGTAAGTCTGTGCAGGCAGGGGCTGCCTTGTTTGGGTCAATTGTATGTATGCCCCTCTGGGAGCCTTTTGGGCTGAAGAGCGGGGTACAAATGCTCTGAAAGCAGTGGTTCTTAAAGGGGGCAGTATTGCCCTCCTGGGGGCAGTGGGATTACTTGGGGGCACTAGGAGGCAAGGGGGCGGCAGAAGGTCACTAGAGGCATAAACAATTATTGGACTTTGAAAAGCTGGCATCACTGGATCATGTTCATCAATTTCATTGAATTAATTCAATTAAATAGTTTTAACTGGCTTTTGAATCAATGCACAATTGTCACTGTTTTAACCCGATTGCGTTACTATCTTCCTTAGTGGGCTGTGCAAACTGCTATTCTGAATAATGCTTTTTATAGGGCAGGGGATGAGTTTATGGAACCGATGGTAGCCCAAAAAACATTTTGGGAAATAAATAAAGCACAGGATCACTCATCAGGCTGCTCAAGAGCCCAGCAGCCAACAAACGGGGGGGGGGGGGACACACATTATAATTAAAACCATGTGTGGGCAAGAAACAAGACAGAAGCTCTTTTTGCCCCGGCTGCTGGGAGAAATTTAAACCAGGCATTTGGTCTCCAGCCCTCTGGAGACATGGCAGCAACATGGGCCTAGCAGAGAGGCTGCTTTTAGCTCAGGGCAGCGGCAGTGTTGTTTGCAAACGCAGCCCTTCTCTGAAGCCACGGCAGCGAGGGCAGGGCTGTCTCTGTTTACGGTAAATGGTAGGAATAAAGGGGTAATACACACGGTGAGAGGCAGATTGGGAACTCCACGTACCCCGATGATGGCGTTCAGCTCCGTCATCGTGACCTGCTTGGCACGCTCAACAGCCTGAGCCACTTGCTGTTGGTGCTGCGGGGACAGAGAGAGAGAAAGACTTGAAGCATCCTACATCCAAGGAAAATGCCGACAATCGAAAGGTACACCGGTTTGGCTTTACAGTGGTACCTCTACTTATGAACACGATCTGTTTCAGGGTGCCATTTGCACCCTGAAAAGTCCATAAGTAGAGTGCCGCTTCTGCGCGTGCATGAAGCGCGCAGATTGCATGCGCCGGTGACGAACCCGGAAGTAAACACTTCTGGGTTTGCCACATTCGTAACTTGAAAAGCCGCAACATGAAGCAAATGTAACACGAGGTATGACTGTATTTAATTTACAGCTCAACTTTTCCTCCAAGGAGCTCAAGGTGGTGTACTCAGGTCCCCCTTGTCTTATTTAATCCCCACAACAACCCTGTGAGGTAGGTTAGGCTCAGAGAAGCTGGGACTGCCCCCCCCGTCACATCCAATGAGCTTCATGGCAGAGTGCAAGGGGTGGAGATTTACCCTGGACCCTCCCAGCTCCTAGTTTGACACTCCCCACTGAGGGAATTCTGGGAACTACCAAGTCTGTGGGGCACCCCAGAGAATTCTGATAGCTAATTATCAGCATCGCCCCAAAGCCACGCTGCCAAGAACCCCCTGTGCAAGGAAGGCATGGTGATTAAAGCCAGATTTGCGGAGTGGATGTGTCCCAAAGGACTCACAAAAACAGAGGGGAACAGAGGGGAAGTGATGTACTCAAGAGATCAGAAGCTGCTTCTTAAGAACTTGGTCATACATCAGTATTTCCTGTCTTCTGGTACGTTTCTCTAAGGAAAGGGGGCTGGGAAATATTTTCAGGCTGAAGGCCACAATCCCTCTTAGAAAACTCTCCGAGAGTCATATGTCAACACTGGGTGTGGCCAAGCAGTCAAACACCCTCCCAGCCATTTTATTTTTGGGGGGTTAGAAAAAAGCATTTCATTATTTCAAGCCTAATTAGGGTTAGGGCAAGAGGCTGTGGCTGCCCTTCAAAAGTCACATTCAGTGAGCTTCATGGCCGAGTGGGAAATTTGAACCCTCGTCTCCCCCAGGTTCTAGTCCTCATGTAATCCCCACAACAACCCCAAGAGGTAGGTTAGGCTGAGAGAGGCAGTGATTGGTCCAAAGTCACCCAGTGAGTTTTTGGGGGTTTTTGGCCAATTGGGGGATTTGAACCCTGCTCTCTCCCAGATCTTAGGCCGACACTCTAACAGCTACACCACATTGGCTCTCAAAACTGGCTGCTAACACTGCTGTGTGGACAAGTCTCAGAGACGCAAGTCCATCCTCTGGGGAACTTGCAAGAAGCGTTTATTGGCTAAGAAAGAAGTAGCTCAGGATGGTATTGAAGCAAAATGGTGGGTCAACAATTATCCCACACTTGACCAAATTAAGTGGTGATTCTTCTGCATATCCATTGACCCATCACTGCATCAGTCCAGCCCTCCTGTCTGCAACCAGGTCTTTAAAATGAGAGGAGCATTTGGTCTCAGCCCTGCAGGGCTCCTCCGCAGATTTGGCTTACTTTTCCCCCAGCAAAACCCCTTGGCATCCTTACCTCTTGTGACAGAAAAGGCATGATCTGGGCTAGAATGGTGTTCAGCCTTTTAGCAATCTCCGTCTAGAAAGAAGATAGGAAAGAGAGAGAGTGTCAATTTACCGTCATTCAGATACCATATTACAGGTGTGTGCGGTGGTGTGGGGTTTTTTTTGGAGGGGGGGGTAAGGGGAGAAGACATGATCCAGGGTTTAGAAGCAGCTGCAACAAAAGCTTTGCAACCCCTGGAACTGCATGCCCACATCCTTAGCTGAGATTCCTGCATTGCAGGGGGTTGGACTAGATGACCCTTGGGAGTATCTTCCAATTCGACATTTAAACGATCCTATAATTAGTCAAGTTTCCAGTAACCCAAGGCCGAATGAAAAAGAGAAGTCTTTGGCTCAGCTGCCGTGCAGCAACTACAGATTCCATATGCATGTTTGTAACAGCAGCACTATGACTACATTTAAACCATACATTTAAAGCACTATGATACTATTTTAAACAGTCAAGCCTTCCCCTAGAGAATGCTGGGAGCTGTAGTTTTTAAAGGGTGCCCCCTATTCCCCTCCCAGAGCTACAATTCCCAGAGTTCCCTGTGAAGGGGGACTGATTGTTAAACCACTCTGGGAACTGTGGTCCTGGGAGGGGAACTGGAATCTCCTAACACCGATCAGCACCCTTAACTACAGTTCCCATGATTCTTTGGGGGAAGCCAAAATTGGTATCACAGTGCTTTATGTTCCAGGCCTATTGCAGTATCCTGCAATACTGTAGTTGGGTGGGGCAGGGTGAACAGGGCACAAGCACACATCAAGTTTCTAATCCTCATGAACCCACAGGTGAGCTTGGAAGTACACAGAGAGCATCTGGCGAAACTTCAGGACTCGGACATCCTTCACTGCAAATATATGCAAAATACACAAGAGCACTTCTTTATTTCAGGAGGTATTCAAGGATACCTAGTACTGGCACCTCTTTTGTTGTTGTTAAAAAGTATGGCACTTCCTATAATCACTTCATGGTGAGTACCGGCACCTATTTTTCGGGGGGGGGGGGCAGGAAGCATTGTACAAGCCTGTCCATTTCATCCAGGATGTAGAACCCAGGTTTTCCTAGCACAGAGGAAGCCTCCGTATAAGGAAGGGTTAATAAAAGACAAGCACTCCTGGACCAGGGCAGCTGTTAAAACAGTTCTGGGTTCCAAGGCAAACAAAATCTGATCACTGGCCAAGGAATCCACAAACAAGGCTAACAATGGAGGCTGGTCAAAAGCACACATTGGAATGGAATCAAATGATCCAAAATTCCTTTTCATAAGTCAGAGCAGCTTGTTATCAATAAAGCATTTAATTTTTTAAAATGATTTAACAACTCAAGACACATCTCCTGAAAGCCAAAAGGTCCTCTGTTCTTACAAGCTGCTGATTTTCCAGTGAAGGCTATCCAAACAATATCTCTTCTCCTCTGGACAGGAAAAGCTACAGCGAGCATGATGCATGTGGTAGAAACTATTTCTCCTCTAATGGGCTTTGAAAACTGTAGAGGAAGCCTCTGATTCCTGCATTCTACTACTCTTCCCCTTTCACAGAACATCAGCTGCAGGAAACATTTATATGCAATGTTTTAACGCTTGTTAGTTAATAATTGCTGCTCCCAGGATCAAAGGAGGGGGCACTATTTCCCCCCTCCCCCATAATATTTATATACCACTTGATTGTAGAAAACCTCTAAGTGGTTTACAAAAAGAATAAAACAACAATCTTGTTACTAAGAACAAAACACACACACACACACCCCAAATTTACAAACAAGCAATTAACTAAAAACACATCAGCATTCTGCATAAAACAAGAATGTTTTTAGCAGGTGCTGAAAAGAGTACAGGAAAGACCTCCCTGCCTGATGTCAAGAGGCAGTGAGTTCCAATGTGTACGGTGCTGCCTACACTTCCAAATGTGGAATGGGTGTTATGCAACACCTGTAACAGTGCCAGTTCTGCAGACTGAGGCGGTCGAGAGAGCATATATGGAGTAAGGGAGATTAGGCGGCCTGTTGGCAGGAGAATAATCCTCTCTCTTCCAGTGTCATGGCAGCAAAGGGTTAACCAACAATGGAGTGAACAGCAGATAAACAGGAGCATTCCACCGAAATTTGATCTGCCATCTCCTCCTGCCCCCAATTAAAAAGTTCAGCTAGGAAGCAGCTCTGCATCTGCAATCTCCGGAAACCCCTTTTCAAAAGCTTTTATATTCTTTATTTCTTTGTCTTGGAGGGGGAGCTGAAATTTAAAGAGCTAGACCATATTGTTTTTAAAAGAGCATCCTGGAACAGATATCAGAAGCAAATAGTAACCAACCAACCTTTCCCCACTCCCCACCCCAAGAACAGGCAATCAAAAGGAACAGCATCCTGGTTTGCCCAGAAAGAGAAGCTTTTTTCCCAGTGGCACAAACCCCCAGGCACACACCCCTCACCCTACAGAGAGGCTCATAGGCAAAAGAAACAAGGGCTGCTCACTCCAGAAACCACTGCCAGCAAGACACCACAGAGTCCTGTGGCCTCTGAAGACAGCCTCTGCCAACCTGGTGCCTTCTAGATGTTTTCGACTAAAAGGTAAAAGTTAAAGGACCCCGGGACAGTTAAGTCCAGTCAAAGGCGACTATGGGTTGTGGCGCTCATCTCGCTTTCAGGCCATCATGTGACAGCTTTCCGGGTCATGTGGCCAGCATGACTAAACCGCTTCTGGCACATGAAGGACCATGATGAGTGCCAGAGCGCATGGAAATGCTGTTTACCTTCCCACCAAAGTGGTACCTATTTATCTACTTGCACTGGTGTGCTTTCAAACTGCTAGGTTGGCAGGAGCAGGGACCGAGCAACGGGAGCTCACCCTGTTGTGGGGATTTGAATCGCTGACCTTCTGATAGGCAAGCCCAAGAGACTCAGTGGTTTAGATCACAGAGCCACCCGTGCTATCAATGCCTCTTAGCCACAATGGCTATGTTCTCCCCCCACCCTTGGTCTGATCCAGCAGGTTCTTATATTCCTATGGACAACAGCACTAGGACTGATGAGAGCTGAAGTCCAAAATGTCTGGAGGGCACCAGGTTGGCAAATGCAGCCTTAAATACACGATGGTTTTATTGTGGTGGGGGATTCCACAGGTTAGAGGACATCCAGCCAATCAGGGCTGGAGAAAATTCTAGGAGGATTAAGACAAGACTTGCTACATCCTCTCAGCAGCCTTAGAGTCACAGAATTGTACAATTGGAAGGGACCTTGAATGCAGCAACCACACCTCGACCGCTTCTCTGGCTGGAAATTCCTCATGCTAAATCTTGCTACCAAATGTATTCCCTTCGCTCTGCTCTTCCCTTCAAGTCCCTCAAGGCAGCCCACAAGGATACGGAAGCCGTTTAAAATCAACAAGCAGGCTACGAAAACTCACAAAATTAAAAGTTATCATTAGAGGCAGCCTAAAAACTAAACACTGAGGTACTCTGGGGTCCCAGACAGGACGCAGATGGCCCTTTTGTCACAAAGCCTGAGTTGTAAATATTTCTGCCATTGGCAAGGATTTCAGAAGCAAACTTTTGTTAGATTTGTGTGTGTGTGTGTGGCAAGGGGGGTGAGTGGAAACCTCCAAGTTTTGCGTTCCGAAACATGGCCTCACATCAAAGCTACACCTTCCCTCTTAACATCCAATTCAATAGTCCGTTTAAAAATATTTGTTCACTTTAGTTAAGTTTGACAAATGAAAAATTTAAAACTCGCTTGTCCCTGGTTAAGGCTGAATGAAGGCCTGCCAGGAGAGAGGAGGGGGTGTTGGAAAATGCACCTTCCTCATAAATTCACCCCATTCATCACAGCATCTCTGCCCCCTCGCCCCTCCCCACCAACCAACCTTAATTCATCACCCTCCCGTTTCCACAGCAACCCTAACCCCTCATTCCCCACTAGGACATTATGCAAATAGCTCCTTTGCCTGACCGCAGCTCTCTGCAAAAATCACAATGCCTGTGCCAAGGCAGGTCACATTCTGCTGAGTGCAGGAGCCGCCAATCACGTTGGCTCCACAAATTAACACTGGATAAAAGCCACACTTGGGAGAGGAACGGGCAGCTGCGGGTGCAGGCAGAGACACTGTCAAGTGAGTGATGGTGAACAAAGGCAACTTCAGCCCACTTAGGAAAAACAGATTCCATCAAGTGCAGTGAGTCCAGGAGCCAGGACCAGAATTCTTACCATATGCACAGAATGCTTACGAATGCAATTTTTGGCCAGGTCTGTGACACATCCCAAGAGATGGCAAGGAGGTGGCAACAATCATTGGGCGTGATTTAGATAAAGTCAGCGCCAAGCAGGAAGGGTCATGACCCACTGAAAGGCAATTGAAAGCCTGTGTGGTGGTGGTGGTTATAGTGTCAGACTAGGACCCGAGAGACCAGGGTTCAAATCCCCACTTGGCGTAGTTCAGTGGGTAACCTTGGGCCAGTCACTCAGCCTAACCTACCTCACAGGGTTGTTGCGGGGACTAGGACCTGAGGAGACCAGGGTTCGAATCCCCACTTGGCCATGAAGCTCACCCTCTTTGTGCTGGGAGATGACGCTCACAGGAAAAGTCAATTTTTAAAGAAGGAACCTCTTTTTAAAAATATTTTAAATTTTACCAACTAAAGAAAGAACCTCTCAAAGCTTTAAAGGTTACCTCACCTCAAGACTGAAGAACAAACTCACTTTCTCTTCTGCCACACATGAGGCCAAACTCACCAGGGAAGAACATTTGGGGGGACAATCACAGCACTCAAAAGCAAGACTAGCTGCCTGCTGACTTAAGTCCATCTTGAAGGAACACGACCCTGAAAATCTCTCAAAGAAATGGATTCTCCAGCCTCCCCGAGTTGTTGCCAACTGACCAGATGCCCACCAACTCCACCCCATGTCCAAATCTTCAACTCTACATGCCTGCCACCCAAGCCTATTGCCCCTTCTGCTATCTATGATCTACACAGACTCGCCACCCTTCGTATCAGGGGGTAGACACATGTGGTGCCCATGAGGGGCAATGGGAGCAGGAGGGCAAGACAGGCAGAGGGCACCCACTTGGCTGGCCCACAGTCCAGCAAGCTGTGAAAAGGGAAACCCAAATGGTCAAGGGGAGGGAGCGACTATGCAGAAGAGGTTGCACTGTTTGGGGTTTTGTAGAGAAAAGGAGAGCAAGAAGTGACATGTTGGAATATTCAGGACAGATAAAAGGAAGTCCTCCTTCACCCAGCACATAGCTAAACTATGGAACTTGGGGGGGGGGGCTTTAAAAGAGGGTTAGACAAGTCCATGGAGAAAGGCTATCATTGGCTACTAGGTATGGTGGCTGTGCTCTGCCTTCAGAGTTGGAGAAAGCAATGCTTCTGATAGCAGTTGCTGGAAGCCAGAGGAGGGGAGGGTGTTCTGGTGCTCGAATCCTGCTTGCGGGTCTCCCAGAAGAGGCATCTGGTTGGCCACAATGAGACAGGATGCTGGACTAGATGGGCCATTGGCCTGATCCAGCAGGCTCTCCTTATGTTCCTATTTCTGCCCGGTCAGCTCTTTAGACAACCCCACTGCCTTACCATCATTTTTTATTTGTATGCCGCCTTTCCACAGTTAAAAAAACAATGCTGAAGGCAGCTTACAGCATAACAAGATTTACATAATTACAAAAGTCATAAACAATAAATAAACCACATCAAAAAAAATACACAACCAAACGGGAAACAATTTCCACATAAATCAAAATCTTAGATCTTATTGTTATTTTACAGTGGTGCCTCGCAAGACGAAATTAATTCGTTCCGTGAATTTTTTCGTCTAGCGAATTTTTCGTCTTGCGAAGCACAAAATCCCATAGGAATGCACTGAAAATCAATTAATGTGTTCCTATGGTCACAAAAAGTCCACACACCACCACAGTGGGTACACCACGAGTTTATTAAGTGCTCTTTAAAGTCACACATACTGTAAAGAGCATGTCAAAATTCAAACCCAGAATTTTTTTAAAAAACAGCAGAGTTGCCCAATGGTCACAGAAAATCATAAAAATGCAGAAAAAACACACAAGCTTCCAGATTCTTGCAAACCCCTCCCCAACACCAAGTCCTTGAATTCCAAACACCCCAACCCAAAATCCAAAACCCCCCAAAGTAGTTTTAAAAGCTTAACTTACCAAATGGCTGCAAAAGAAGTTTTGGAAAAGCTTCAAAAATCACCAAAGTCTTTAAAAACCTCAAAAAAAGCTACTATGTACACTGCGTTCTATGAGTTGCTCCTCGGAGTCAAGTCGCAACTGTATTAAGGGTGTTAAGAAAAAGGAAACAAACTTGCAAGACATTTTCGTCTTGCGAAGCAAGCCCATAGGGAAATTCGTCTTGCGAAGCAGCTCAAAAAACGGAAAACCCTTTCGTCTAGCGAGTTTTTTGTCTTGCGAGGCATTCGTCTTGCGGGGCACCACTGTATTAGGGTTTTTTTTCAGCTGTGGGTTGTTCTTTGATATTGCATTTTCTGTTGTTGTTTTATTTGTACCCCACCCATCTGGGTTGCCCCAGCCACACTCTGAGTGGCTGTTGTTGTTGTTGTAACCTGCCCTGGGGACGTTAGGGTGAAGGTCAGATGATGATGATTGCCATTTGGGTGCTGAACAGTGTTCATCCATTTAGTGCAAGGGTTTCTGCTTGGGCAGCAGGACTTTCCGCTCTCCTCTCACTCGCCAACATTCTTCCCCACCCTTCCCAAATCTGCTCCAGAAGGTTGTGGGGGGCTCCTTAAACAGATTTAGGGGGGACAGCAGGAGAATCGAGCCCCCCAGGGGGTGAGCACGGGGGTCACCAAGCACCTCTACTGACATTTGGCTTGGCAGATCAGGCCAGCCAGCCAAGAGCATAAACGAGTTGAATTCCTCCCTTCCCCTTTGGAAAAACAACAACACACACAGCCACCTATCTGCTTCTGCATACCACCCTCCAGTTTCCCAAGGAGTCTTTCAGGGCAGAGGCGGGCAGGGGAAAGGGATGGGGATGAGGCCATCCGCCCAAGTGCCTCCAGCATTTGTTGAAAGCAGAATATTGTCTCTCTAAGCAGATGAAAATAAGGTCCTTGAGCCTCCAAGCGGTTCTCACTCGGGGAGACAATTAGGGGCACTTCCAGCTGTCTAGCACTCGCTCAAGTGCGCTCTTCAACCAGGCTCTCAATGGCGTGTTGAAAGCTATTTGCGGCAGCAAAGCGTTATTAGCCAGGATGGAGAGCGCCGCTGATGAGAATTAAATTCAGGGAGGAGTGTGGGCGCGCGTGGGCGCAAACGGTTATTACGGATTTGCCAATCGCACGAGGCAAACGAGGCCGATTCAGGAGATAAAAATAAGGACGCCCAGCCAGGAGATTCAACAGATATTTGGGGCGGCAGCGAGGTGGGTGGGTGGGGGTTTGTAATGTGAATCCAGGCATCCCTGCCATTAACTAAAGGAGCCGAGCTAAATGGGAGGGGGCTCCCGCAATTTGGGGGATCTCAAGCACTTGGCAGATTCCTAGTATTATCTCTTAAGGAGATCACTAGCTGGAGCTGATGCAATGTTCTTGGAACCTCAAAGCAGAGAGGGCCGGGGGGGGGTGTCACCAGCAGGTGCCACCAGGCTAAAAAGGCACTCTGGTTTGGACAAACAGGCCAAACCCTACTCCAAAGGATAAAAGTAAAGGTAAAGGGACCCCTGACCATTAGGTCCAGTTGTGACCGACTCTGGGGTTGCGGTGCTCATCTCGCTTTATTGGCCGAGGGAGCCAGCGTTTGTCTGCAGACAGCTTCCAGGTCATGTGGCCAGCATGACTAAGCCGCTTCTGGTGAACCAGAGCAGCACACAGAAACGCTGTTTACCTTCCCGCCGGAAAAGTACCTATTTATCTACTTGCAATTTGTGCTTTCGAACTGCTAGGTTGGCAGGAGCTGAGACCGAACAACGGGAGCTCACCCCGTCGCGGGGATTCGAACCGCCGACCTTCTGATCGGCAAGTCCTAGGCTCTGTGGTTTAACACACAGCGCCACCCGCGTCCCCACGCCAAAGGTTAATGGACATAAATCTGACATCAGGAATCACAAGACAGAGAAACCAGGAGGAAAACACTTCAGTCTCCCAGGACATTCTATCCAAGATCTCAAAGTAGCTGTCATGTTACAAAAGAATTTCAGAAATAGACTGGAAAGAGAAGTTGCTGAATTACAACTTATTACCAAACTTAAAACCATGGAGAGACCTGGTCTGAATAGAGACATTGGATTCTTATCTCATTATACATGATAAAGCTACAGGTTTACCACACCTACCAGCCAATCACCCATTCCCACCACCCTTCTGAGTAATACCCCTCCCCACCCACTTACTATATATAAAGGTCTGGTGACTTTTGTTTCAGAGTACAGTGGTACCTCGGGTTAAGTACTTAATTCATTCTGGAGGTCCGTTCTTAACCTGAAACTGTTCTTAACCTGAAGCACCACTTTAGCTAATGAGGCCTCCTGATGCTGCTGTGCCGCCGGAGCACAATTTCTGTTCTCATCCTGAAGCAAAGTTCTTAACCCGATGTACTATTTCTGGGTTAGTGGAGTGTAACCTGAAGCGTATGTAACCTGAAGCGTATGTAACCTGAAGCATATGTAACCCGAGGTACTACTGTGTCTGAAGAAGTGTGCATGAACACGAAAGCCCATACCAAGAACAAACTTAGTTGGTCTCTAAGGTGCTACTGGACATTTTTTAAAGAATTTTTAAATATATTTCTACTGCATCAGACCAACACAGCTACCTACCTAGCTTCCCTCTGCTCACCCAATTAGGCAGATACCATCTTTTGGCATTATTTTACCTATTTTAAAGCACGAGGCTTAAACAGCCATTTTAACTGCTACAATGCAGCACAGAGTTAAAACTATGGAATTCACTCCCACAAGGAAGCTGGGATGGCCACCCATCTAGACAGCTTTATTTTTATTTTTTTTATAAGATATTTATTGAAATTTTCAAAGTGTTACCAAGAAATAAAAGCAGTAGAAAATACAAAATAAAAATAGTTAACAAAGTAGAAAAAGAAAAAAAACAAACCCCTTCCAACCATATGAATACAAATTCAAAAATAAGAAAAAGTGACAGAAAAAAAAATACAAAAATACATCACAAACAATTAAAAACATTTAAAAACAAATTCATTATTCTCAAATCCTCAACTGTCATTACCTTCTTTCTTTGACCTCCTCCTCCTCCCTTTCTTTGTATCCTAGTTATTAATTATCCCAGCAAATCCTTTCCATATTTCATAATATTCTGTTATTACATTACCCTAAACTGTTTTAATCTTATCTTTCTATAGTAAAATAAACCTTAAAGCTTAAAACTTAAATCTTATCCTTACCAACTTCTCATAACCATAATATTCTTTCATAATTCTTTAAACATTTTTACTAAAGCCAAGCAATTTCATTCCAACATTTTTCTAACATTCATCAATTTTATAAAACAGTTCTAATGGTAGAAAAAAGAAATACAAACAGATCCAATCTTCATCCAACGTCCCTTCCTCCTGGTTCCGGGTTTTGTCAGTCCTTATTATCCCGTTGATCTAGTTCATTAACCTGGCAGCCTTATATCCGAGGCCCTCAAGTCTCTTCCATGTCCCTTCCGTAGCTCTTCTTCATATTTGTAACTGTATTTTCCCTTGTCTCCTACTCGTGGTAACTCCAGCTTGGCAATATTTTTAACCCTTCTCGACAGATCAGCCCCTTTTCCATATTCAACACTGAATTCCATATGGTATTTAAAAGCATGCTTCAAAGACCCTCTAAAATTAAGAGCCCCCACAATCCCAAACATCTCACGGCCCATTGCCAGATTCGAAAAGTCCAAACATCCCAGCATAGGGGGGTCAATCCAGCCCCCCATTTCCAAGCCAAACCAAACTTTTTCTTTCCAAATCTGGCTTTTTCCAAGTTCATTTGTCAAATCCGAAAACTCATATTCCTGTTGGGCCTGTTCTGTCAGGACACACTCCTGATTTAATTCCTGAGTGGGCTCCACATATTTTCCCACTGTCTGTTCAAAATTTCCCACTGCCTGTTCAAAATCTCTAGTCGAAGTCGCCATCCAATTCACCTTCTCATGTAATTGTTCCAGTAGGGCATTTGTTTTATAGAAAGCACACAACAAAGCTTCTGAATACATTGTCCTGCAAGGTCAAATGCCTGTTCCCACGATTGTAATCTGTAACAGCTGCCGGCTCCCTGGAGTTGGTTACAGTTACACAATCTCCCTCTAGGGGGAAAACTTCTATTTGTTCTTGCAACAAAGTTTCCCTTTTTGAGATACTTTGTCAATATTTGTTGCTTAAAGATGCGAAGGGAAGCAGTGGAATCGCTATGTTTCTCTTCTTTTAGCTATCTGTCAAAAACGCTTGTCTCTGGTCAATGAACTTCAAACGTCAGTCCTGACACCCCGCTCCAGGATCAGGACGAAGGAAAGTTACTTTACTTTAAACTCACTTTAAACAGTCCGAAAAAGATCCCCCTCCTTCTCCTGCTGTCGAAGGGGGGTTCCACAATTTTAAATGATGAAATCCAATCCTTTAAAGGCGATTTTCTAAGCTCTAGTTTACATTGTCTTTGCTTTATTCTGTCTACAGAAGAACGGAAGGCTGACTTCCTGTTTAGACCTTCCCGTTCCGTACCAAATTAAAATAGGTTTTTAAAATCCAATTCCTTTCCACTCGCAAGTCCTTATTTAATGTCCAGTTGTTCAAAATCCAAGTACTCACAGGTGCTTATTTTAGAGTCCAAATTGTCCCAGGAAAAAGGCAGCGCTCTCCGGCAACGGCTGTGCGGCTTCGCTCCACGGAAATAGCAGTTGACTCACAGCACCGCGCCACTTCCCCCTCTTCACTTCGGAGCCCATTAGTGGGTTCCTTAGCGAGTTGGGGGGGCGCTAAAGGTGCCCGCCGAGTCCCATGGTCACAGGCTTCATCCGCCTGTGATTTTTAAAAGGGTCCCCACTTCGCCGTAGCGGAGAAGACCCGTTTCCCGCGGAGCTAGTCTCTCCTGTTCAGAGGGAGTCCGCCATTGCCGGTGGCGCCACCCCGGAAGTCCTCCCATCTAGACAGCTTTAAAGGGTTACCAAAGAGCATCAATGGCTGCTAGCTATTATGGCTATGCTGCCCGCAGCTGGAAGCAGCAATGCTGAGTGCAGTTGCTGGAAACTGCAAGAGAGGAGAGGACTCTCGTGCTCATTAGCTTGCCAGAGGCAGGAGTTCTTGCACCACACAAAGGACCACTCACAGGCAGCTTAAACCTGCTGTGAAATTTTGCTTTAAGAGCATCCTTCAATCTGTCTGGATGTCTCCTAAGTGGAGACAAGTTGCACTTGATGCATTTTTAGGCCTTTTGGAGAAAGGCTCAGCGGCGGCACCTGCTCTGCGGGCAGAAGATCCCAGGTTCAAACCCCAGCAGCATCTCCAGGTAGGGTTGGGAGAGAGTCTCTGCCGAAACCCCCGAGAGTTTCCACTGCTACCAGTCAGTGTAGACAATGCTGAGCTAGATGGACCAATGTTCTGACTCAGTGTCAGCTTCCCTTGTTCCCAGCTTCTCCTAGTTATCCACTGCTCATCAAAGCCTCCAGACAGCCGCACCCGCTGCCATTTCCCCAAAAGAAATCTCCTCCGTTTTTTATATACTCAAAGACAAACATCCACCAAGGAACCCTGCGCTTTGCTCTGCCATGCTAGTCTGGAGGGCACAAAACAGCATGAATCATTCAAGCGTCTACCCGATGGTGTGCAGATAAAGCTAATACAGGTCACCTGAGAAGTCTGTTAGCTCAGAACCTCCTTGCTCAGCATCCACACCACTCTTAGTGGCTGGGATTTACTTGCAGGAATATCTTGGCCAGAGGAGGAGCAACAGGGGTCTTTTCATTCAGGCCTTCTATTTAACACCTCCTGGCTGGGTTTCTTCAGTGTGTGTGCGCATGCGTGTGCGCATGCACACAAACACATATGGCAGCTTGTGTTAACAGCTGTTCTCATCCAGCGGCTAAATCATTTTTAAAAAAGATTGAACCCTTCTCTCTTCCCACTCAGGATTCACAAGTAGTAAAAGCCAATCAATGACTAATCTTTAAACAGAGGCCATTCAAAGGCAGCCTGCAGAAAACCCGCCAATGTTTTCTCGTTTGATAAAATTTATACACTGCTTGGCTGTTGTTGTTTTTTTAAAAAAAGCTCAAAGTAAGAGAAATTAACAATTTAAGACATTCCAAAAGTTAGCATAAGAATAGACTAAAAACAGGTAAGACTTGCATCCAATTTCTAAACGTCTGGGTAGGCTCAGCTGAACAAAACTGTTTATAGCAGGTGCTGAAAAGAGGACAGTAATGCACCTGCCTGATGTCAATAGGCAGGGAGTTCCAAAGTGTAGGTGCTGCCACACTAAAATATCAAGTTCTTCCTCTTCCTGCTGTCTGAACAGTTCCACACTGGGTGGATTGTGATGAAACACTACAAATCCTCCAATGCCGGCTGCGTGATGATAGCCTTACATTTTTATGTATATAGGAAGATTACCCTATAATTCCTTGACTGTTCCCCCAGAATATCATCCCAGAAGTCATGAATTGCCAGATGGAATCCTTTGGGGATGAGCAAGTACTTGTATTACCAACAGACTAAAACACATACCCTGAATCACCATGACACTAGGAGCAGCTGAAACAAAGGAGATAGCAGTGTTGGGGCTCACTCCCACTAGGACTTCAATGGGATGTCTGAAAGCTTTCCATTTCTTACATGAATTGGGGATTGGTGATGGGCTTTCCCCAGGCAAAGAGGAGCCCACAGGTGGTTTCCAAACCACCCTAAACCCTTTCAAAGCCATGGAAACACAGAGGAAGCAGAATTAAAATTATTCCCCAGGGGCCACTTGAAACAAGTAACTGCTTTTGAAAGAGTCATCCCACAGACTTCAAGGGGTATTTTTTTTTAGTCAAACAGTGTATAAATTTCATGAAATAAACAAATCCTGCTCCAACTAAAAGAGGGCAATCTCACAAGATTAAGAGTGAAAAGAGTAAAGTATTTCTCTGTTGTCTAAAGACAAATAAGATTGGCAGCAAGCGTGTTTCCTTGGGGACAGTCATCCCCAAACAGGGAGGGCCACCACCAAAAAGGCCCATACTCATGAACCTCCCATGGAGGAGCAGGGGCACATGAATTCTAACACACCTTAGAATTAAACGGTTCTGACATGCTCAGCAATTATACAGAATGTCTTACATTCAAGAGAAAAATACATTTTTAACAAAGACTGGGTTTGCATCCAAACTGTCTTTGCTTTCATCCTGTCTTTCCTCTGCCCCACCACACTCATTGCAGGGACCTCACCCAACTATGAACGTTGTTCCATGGGGTCCCAGATCAGGCCAGGTGAGCACATAATGGACAGCCTCACACTTCTCTCTGACGTCACCAGGCAGACATTTGCCTTCAGATCAAACCCTACAAAAGCCATAGTCGCCCCAAACAAGTCCCATTAGACCAGCTTTCTTCATCCTGGCCACTTTGCTCTCCAGATGTTCTGGATGAAACCTGGGAGTCGCCATCCAAAACAGCTGGAGGACCCCAGGTTGGCAAAAGCAGCATCAACGTGAGTGGATGGGCGCGAAGGCAAGGTGAGAGGAGAGCCAACTCCCTGCTACCAGCTGAGCCCAGCAAATCCTCTTCCCAACCTGCTGGAAGAGGCAAGGCGAGAAGGCAGATTAAAGGATCGGTTTTCCCTCCCCTCGCAATCAAGGCAGCTCATTTCATTTCGTTCAATAATCCTTAAAATGCCATCTCCAACCAAAAACATCACACAGACACATCGACTACAAAGCTGCCCGCCCACCCCCTCGCGCAGATATAAATCTGACATAATTACCAGCCAGGGAACCCGGCATCAAAAGGAGCCGTCCCCCAAAGCAAGACGTAGGCTGGAAGGGGTTTGCTTGCAGAGAGTGAATTATCCCCCCCCCCCCAAAAAGAAGAAAAACAACAACCACCCAGCCAAATTGCCAAGTCTGAAGAGTCCCTCTCTGGCACTTTCTTCGCCTCCACAGGCCTTTCAAAGCTCGAAATCTGCAGCCGCTAATTTACGACTCTCTTAGAGGGGCGAAGATATAAAGCAGCAAATGGAAATAGGCCTTTAAATCAGGTTTGAGAGCAGAGTTCTGGAGGGCAGCAGCCACACAATAAGCGGGGGGGGGGAGAGAGAGACTCTCTCTCTCTCCACTGGGCCAGAAAGCTTTGTCAGGAAAAATACCAAAGTGTCTCTCAGTACCCTGGTTCAGTTGCCTGGGACAGCCAACCGAGGTATCAAGAGACTTTTGGGTCTTTTCCCCAACAGCTTCTAAACTCTCCTTATTTCTTTATTGCAATGGTTAGTTGCTCTTTTGGTTGTAAGTGACTTGTAGAGAGTGAGGCACATGTTGAAGACCAGTTTAAAAAGCAGAATACAAAAACCTATAAAGCGCAAGATCTCTTATGTCTTGGTCAAAAAGCCCACCTGGAGTCCTGTGTCCAATTCTGGGCATCACAGCTTTACAAAAGATGTTGATAAGTTAGGACATGTGCAGAGGAGGGTTTGTTTAGCAGAGATACGATAGCCATTCTCAAATTATCTGGAGGGAAGATGGCGCAATCTTGTTTTCTGCTGCTCCAGAGGGTAAGACCAGAACCAATGGATTCAAATGACAAGAAAGGAGATTCTGGCTAATCGTTAGGAAGAATTTTCTGAGGGCAAGAGAAGAGGAATTGACTCCACTGGAACCTCCACTCCTGTTGTTGGAGGTTTTTAAATGGAGCTTGGATGGCCATCTGGCAGGGATTCCATCACAGCCTAAGAAGAGCCACTGGGTAAGGCCAGCATCCTCTCCCCACAGCGGCCAACAAGATGGCTGAGGTTAAATCAGCAAGCAGGCTTCATGCACAATCTTCCCTCCTATGGTTTCCAGAAACTGGTGTTCAGAAGCATTGTCTGCCTCAAACTTTGATGGCAGAGCGTAGTCATCATGGCTGGTAGCCATCAATAGCCTTCCCCTCCAAGAACTGGTCCAATTCTGTTTTAAAACCATCCAAGTTGCCTCCTGAGACTGTTTAACCATGCGGTGCATGAAGAATCAGGGAGCTGGACTAAATGACCCCTGGGGTCCCTTCCAACGCTACAATCCTATGGTTCTATGGTCCGCTGTTAAGCTCCAGCTCTTCCCCTCCAAGGCATCACAACTAATCAGGCCTGATCTCAATAACTTCATTCCTTGAAGTTTTGCTATCATGCGCCCAGGCCCTAGGCTCCTTAAGGTTTTAAGCTTATCAAGGAAGCAAATCGCATTCCCAAACAGCTCAGCTTGTTCTGCCCTTGCGGGGGAGAAGGGGGGGCGGGGAGCCATTAGAGTAAGACAGAAGTTGCCTCTTTGCCAGACAAACAGGTGGGGCTGCAATAGTCATTAGATGCTATCGCCTGGAAGAGGAGTTTAACTCTTTGCAAGCCAGTCACTCTGTCACAGACAGCTTTTCGGGTCATGTGGCTACTGAGAAAAGGGGAAGGGGATCTGGCAGGGAGATCTTCGACACTCTCAGCTGTAGGGGGTTAGGAAAGCATTCCAAATTCCCAGTGGTCCAAGTTTTTTGGGGGGGAGGGGGGATCTTTTACAGCACCCTTTGCCAACCTGATGCCCTCCAGTTGTTTTGGCCAACAACTCCATGCTGGCTGGGGTTGATAAGAATGGTTGTCCTAAAACATCTGGGCAGCACCAAATTGGAGAAGGTCATCTTACAAGCACCGACCAAATTACTTGTTTTCTGCTACTCCAGAGGGTAGGACCTGAACCAATGGATTCAAATGGCAAGAAAGGAGATTTCAAGTCAACATTAAGAGCAACTTTCTGAAAGCAAAAGCTGTTCAACAGTGGAACGGACTCCCTCAGAAGAGGTGGACTCTCAGTCATTTGAGGTTTTCAACAGGGGTTGGATGATCATCTGTTAGAGAATCTTGCATTGCAGGGGATGAGACTAGATGATCCACATGGTCCCTTCCAATTCTAGGATTCCATGACCACTTTCACAGTCTCATCTGCCTTCTATCCATCCCTATGTACGTACCACTGTCTACTCCCTTTCGGCTCTGCCCCTTCTTTAAAGAAGCAGGCATTCGGTGAGATTATGTAACAAAAAAGTGTGCCCTTGAACATATACAAAGTACATTTCTATCAACACTCATTTATTTAGAGGAGTACTAATACACTGCCCTTCACATCATCATCATCACAGAGCTATGTACACATATGAAACAAGGACAAACCTATTAACTATACCAAATTAAACTTACAACAATAGAAAAGCAACTTCCATAATCCAATCTTTCTGAGGGCACCATCCAAACACCCCCACCCCCCTGGACAATGTTCTAAGAGATAATTACAACTTTCAGTAAGACCTGGGTGCTTGACAACTTCATTAAGCATCAACTTCATTAAAACAACAAAAGTGACTTTAAACACAAAATGCTCCAGGTTTCTGCTAATTACTTTGCTGCTTTAAAAAAAAAACACCTGTGCTATCCTGGAACAAAATTTAAGCAACACGCAGTGAGGTTTCCAAAAAAAGAGAGCAGTAGGTAGGTCATTGAACTCTTCTGTTTGGTTTCTACCCACCCAGGTACACCTATAGCCAGGCTACAGTTTTTATTTATTTTAAATGAATTTTTTAAAAGAAATCAAAACTACAGTAGCTATAAAAGTCTGTTATGTTAAACAGGTCAATGCTTCCAACTTTTGACCACAGCCCAATCACTGCCAGTCAACTGATGGACTTGATGTGCTCTCCAACCCCACAGTTCTCCTTTTGCCAGGATCCCATGTGAACAGCACCCCACTGCCATGGTGCATTCAAAGGTGCCAGCAGACAAACTACTTCTGCGATCCTGGGATCTCCACAACAGTGAGGTCACCAATGCATTGCAACACGTCATGTGACAGAAACGGGCGTTGAAAAAGAGGAAAGTGCAGCTTGGTTGGAGAAGGGGCAGGATGTGGATGTGCTGAGAGATGGGGGGTGGAGGGAGTAAGACTGCTCTGGTGCAACACAGCAACCGCAAAAACACAAGTATTTGCTCAAAACCACAGTTGCGAAAGGGTCAGAGTTCCACAACTCCAAAGCCCAACGAAAACAAAGGAATTTGAAACGCCAAATAAACGCCACCGTCGTGCACACCTCTTCACCTCCCACAAGTCATTCTGAATTGAGTCCAAGGGGGCAACATTTGCAGTGCCCTGATTTTCGCACAAATCTCCCTGGCAACAGCTTAATGCTCTCTATCCCCCAAGCCTTGTTCCTGAAGTAGCCGAAGAGAGGGAGGGGAAAGGCAACAGACCACTGAACAGGGACATAGTAAGCAAAGACACTCACCTGCTTGTGCATTTCAATGTTCAAGCCATAAGACATTTCATAGTACTGAAAAAGAGAAAAAAAGGGGGGAGAGAGATCTTCATTAATCATGCAATAAATGTTTGGAAGCATCCTGAATATGGTACCCAGTATCTCAAAGCGAAGCAGGAGGAGAAAAGAAAGGTTTGCCATCGCTTTGCAGGAGCCCAAGAAACGGCTGCAGCCACAGAGTGTCCGCCCTGCTTGACATATCTTTAACAAGATGACAATGCTTTGACACGCCTGCCTCTTCTCCGAAAGCTGCTTAGGAGAGCTCTAGTCGTGAACTGCGTGCTCTCTGTCTCCTGGATGCAAGACAACCCACACAGGCTCTGGGGAGACATCTTGAGCTATTTCTGCGCTGCGCTCAACATCACAGCTCAAGGGTGTAACACACCACACATGCAGAAAGGCGCTTATTTGATAAGCAGCACCTGTCATTAAGGGATTTCAAAAAGCGGGATTGAGAAAACCCGCTACCTTTGACCAGGAAGGCCTACGTCCAAAAGGGCTCTGCCGGGATCCAAGTGTCCTACATTGATGAACACAATGTTTTTAATTGTTAATTAAAGGTTGTGCTGCACAGCAGCTGAGGATGGGGCAACACACCAGGAATTCACTGCATTGCTTTAGACATGCTCTCTCACCCACACCCTGATGCACAGACAATTTGACATAATACCACTCAACTCCCTTCTCAGATTGTTGTGAGGTTTACAATTTATTGAGTTTATTGCATTTATACACCTTATCCTCCAAAGAACTCAAGGTTCTCCCTCTCAACAACAACCCTGTGAGGTAGGTTAGCCTGAGAGGCCCATGACTGGCTTCAGAGCTGAGTGAGGAGTTGAACCCAGTCTCCCAGGTCCTATTCCAACACTCTAACCACTACACCACAGTAGCTCTCAAGCCCTTTCAATACACCAGGGACTGGCTGCATGCATGCTAAGCCGGGGGCATGTATATCTGTTATACGCACAAAGGAGGTAGGACCAATTGCACTCTGTGCTAAATGCAACTGAGAAGAGCACAGCCAATCCGGACTTCTCCAGATGTGTTAGTCCACAGCACAGCCAGTGGAGAAGGGTGATGGGAGTTGCTGCCCACATAGCACATCTCCCCAGGAGCAAAATCCAGTGAACATTGTGGGTCTTATTTCTGAGTATAACCACCTATGAGCTGCATTTGTTACAGGGGGGCCCACAATCTATCATTTGACGTGCGCCAGCTACAGGAGGAAAGGGGGACATTTTGGAGGCCGCAGACGCACCAGAAGTGGTCAACCTGTTTCAGGACTGTACCACTTTCCTCGGATGTGTGTGTGTGTGTCTCACAGGCTTCAACCTCCTCCAAATATGAAACCAGCAAGTGAAAGAGAAACTGGATCTAGACCCCTTTGCCCGGGTGTTCTACATACAAGAATGTCTGCTGCTCTTTTAAAATGTGCAGGCTAGACCACCTCAGTGAGAACCCAGCTGAGAAAACGAGATGCCCTTGATCCAAGTCCCCTGCAGCCTTGCATTACAAACCCAGGGGTTTTTGGGGGGGGGGAGGCAGAAGGGGGGGCAAAACCTCATTTGGGCATCTGGTGTGCTCATGAGGCTCCCACTGAGGTCAGACCCAACCATGCCTGGAAGGAGTAACATGGTGAATAGTCACTCAACTCAACTATTCTGCCATCTAGCCAGCAAGAGCCAATCCATCACATTTACCGCAAAAAAGGACCCTTTAAATGCCTTTGAGCTGCGTACGGCCGATCAGTTTCTGACAGCCATTCCCCAATACCTGGTTCTGCCAGGGTTATTAACCTCTGGCATTCCCAGAGCTGCCACAACCACAGGGATTATTAGCAACTGCAAGGACCACTTCCCGGGAAAGTCTTTCCTGTAGCAAAAGCAACAACTGACCACACACCGCAGCGATTAGGCATTTACACAGCTATGGGGACTCAAATCCCACTGGGGAGGCTGCACTGGCTACAGCTGGGCTGAGTTAACTCGCGAGGAGCTGAATCAAGGCACTTCCTGGGGTTGTGGGTTTTTTCGGGGAGTTTCCTGCGGCAAAGAAGCAAAAGCCCAGGTTGGGCACCCACCATACCACCAAGGGCTTATAAACACTGTGGTTGTTCACATATGTCCGCAGGGAGCCAACAGCTATTATTTTTCAGATATGGAAAAACCTTTCATGTTAGCGGAATATTCCATAGAAGAGCAGAAAGCGCTCAGGACTGCCTAAGAAAATCCTATGGACATGGGCCATTTAGCCAGGTGTGTTAAAGTGCTTCCCTGAAAGCACAAGGGCACACAAAGGTGGACAGGTAGAAAAGTGTTTGTGGAGCGGAATGGGACAGGAACCTCATATGAGACCCCGTGAGTTCTGAAAGAAGCCTTCCACCCAATGTTTTGGGTTACAACTCCAAGTGACCCAGTCTGGGTCAGAGAGGTCCGGTTTTCCCCAGGAAAACAGTCGCCATCGAAGAGTCTCTCTTACCATCACGTAGTGGCGCTGCATCTCTGTCTTTTCATTCGCAAGCTTGTCGTACTCTACTTTAAGACTAGAAAAGAAAAAGAGAGAGGGTACCCGTCACAACTCAGAAGTCCCAGAAACACTCAAGTTGCTAACAAGACGGGCAGGGTGGGGTGAGGGGAGAGTCAAGGAAAGGGAACCTGGAAGTCACACCTTTTCACCCAGAAACCCTTCCTTCCCCATTAACTCTACAGACATGCAAACTATGAAAAAGGATGCACTCTGCATATGCTCCAAGACACTTGATCCTTCACAGAGCCGATTCAAAACAGAGTCACAAGGCTACAGGTGAGTGAAGCACAGCTCTTGTGAGGCAAGAGACTTACTAGATTTTTTTTTTTTAATGAACAAAGTGTCACTGGAAATTCAGCAGAGCCTGAATTATATACACTGCCAATGAGTGGCATTTGTTCGTTTATTTACTGGAGATTGTGATGAAGTATTTTAAATCAGAGGTACCCCCAGTGAAAAGGCAGCCTTTTTCTGACAGATGAGTTGCAAAAAAATCTGAAGAAATAGGCTTGATTTTTTTATGCCTTACCGTCAGAGCTTCAATTACAGAACCTGGAAAGGGACCTGTCTTGAACCTCTTAATGATGTCAGCAAATTAAAAGCCAGAGAGTTGATATTGAGGTGGAAAGGTAGGGGGGGATTAGCATGAAAATTTGGGATCTTCTTAGCAAATCCTCCCAAAAATGCCTAGAAGCTGTGCAGATTAAAACTCTCAGCTCTGAAATAACATGCCCAATTTACTTTTGGTGTTAAACACACAGCCTCTGACTGTGTGCCAGCAGGCTTTCTATGGAAGCCTGCTTGGGACTGCCTCTTATCTGAGAGTAAATCCCCCCTAAAATAAATGGGACTGACTCCCAAGAAAACCTAGATGGGATTGGACTGCAAGTAAGGAACCTTAAGAGTGCTTGATGGTACCACTTGGGGTGTTCCTTGCAATCAAAACAGCTTAGCAAGCATTGGGGAAGAGGAACACATCTGAAGGCAAGGGGGTTGTTTTCTTCAGCTAAACAGCTACTAACTAGCAAAGACAACGTGCAGGAAATAAATGGATGTTCTTAGCAGACAGGGCTGCAAAACTCCTTTCTGGAAACTCCCCCAAATGTTCTTAAGGAAAGTGAAAGGGGGGGAGTGAGCCCCAAGTTGACAGAGAGTAGAGAACAATAAGCAGCCTGGATGTCAGCCAGCTCTGTGGTTTCTAAGACACTCCAGACCGCCTGCTCTTTTAACCCTTCAGCATCTGTTAGGATTAATAAGCCTTTCACCTTTGCAAGGTGGGAGGAAGGAGCCAGAGAAAGGTTACCTGTGGTACTGAGCCTGCAGGAACTGGAACTCGTCCTTAATCCTGTCGCAGGATTCGGCAACGGTGAATTTGAAGCCTGGCTGGCCAGGCTGGTGGGGTGCCTGGAAAGGGGAGAAGACAGCCCCCCCCCCCGGTTTATCAGTAATTTCTCTGGGGCAGCAAGCCCATCATTAACACACACACACCCCAGCTGTGGGCACCCAAAATGCCTCCCACAGGACTGGGGGAGAAGTGCAAGTTACATGCTAAATCTCCCCCAAATCCTTGCCCCCCAAAAAGCCTACATAAAAAGAAGTTGATAAAAATCTAGTCTTATGACACCAGGCTCCGCCTACAGCTCCCCCAATTAAAAGGGGGTGCTGCACAATTAACCAAAAATATAAACAAGGACCCCCCCACAATTTTTTTAAAGCAGTAAGTTCTCTGTGACACCACTAGCAGGGGGCTCGATGCTCCCATTCCTCCCCCCCCCCCAGCCCCACATATGCACGCGGGCTTGCTGGAGGGAAAAGTGAAGGGGGGAGTGCATGGAAGTGTATGGGGGGAGGGGGGAAAGAGCACCACGACAAACCCCACCCCCCAAAAGGGTGAGTTCCCAAGCGGGCCCCAAGGGGCGCTGCTCCGTTTACACGCGGCTCAAGCCCCCAGGGCCGCGATCCGGATCAAAGGCCACGGGAAGGCCGAGCAGGGCGCCTCCCTCCCTGCCTCCACCCCCTCCCTCGACTCCGCCACCTACTCACCGGGTGCCTCCCTTGGGGATACATGGCCGGCCCCGCGATCGGAGCGACGGTCCCTCCGGAGCCTGGACAAAGGAGGCGAGCGCGGGCGCTTCAGCAGCCGCCGCCGCCACGGCCGGGAGACTGACGCGCCTCCTCCTCGTCCTCCGAGCGCAGCAGCAGCAGCAGCGACGACGACGGCCGGGCTTCCCCCGGGTGGGCAGCGGCGATGGCGGGCGAGGGGGAGCCGCCGCCCCTTCCGGGCATCCTACCCCCCTCCCCGGGCTCGGAAAGGCTCCCCCGCCGCCGCTCGAGGAAGAAGGCAAGAGACGATCGCCTCCCTCGAACAACGGCACCCCTCCGTTGGTATACACCCAAGCGCGCGTTCACACGCACAATCCACAGCTACTCCGAAGCCGGCGGACGGCTGGGCTTTCCTTTTTGTTAGCAGATCCACCAGAAAAAGCTCCCTCGGGCAGAGCAGGAGACGAGACAAACGCCGCGGAGTGTTGGAAGCGGGGGGCGATACTTCCTTGCAAATCCTCCCGGCTGCTCTTTCCCTGGCCGCCGGGGCTGCAACGATTTCCTCCTCGCTCGCTCGCAGGGAGACAAGAAAACCACACGAAGAAGAAAAACAAAGCCCGGATTGTTGTTGTTTTTCGGTGGGGGGGGGGCTCTCTCTCCTTCGCAGTAACTCCACCAAGATCCTCTCCGCGCGCGCGGAGCCGAGTCAGACGGGCTCCGTCCCTTGTTCTCCTTCCCACGGTCCTCCCCGTCGCAAGAAAGCGCAGCCGGATCCAGACGGGGTCGCCGCGGTCATGGAGGCGAAGAGAGCGGGAGGGGGGGGGGAGAGGGGGGAGGGGAGGTCGCTTCTTCAAAGGAGGCAAATCCTCAAAGGCTTGTAGCGGCGGCCCCCACCCCGAACAAGCCGCGAGCAAACGTCGTTCGGCACAACCCCCCCCCCCCCCACTTCTCCAATCCGGCCTTGCAATGCCACCCACAGAAGGCGAGGCTCCTGCTGCTGCCGCCGCCGCCGCTGCAACACGAGAACTCCGCGTCGCGCTCCAAATAGGGGGAGGACCGAGAAAGGCGAAGCAGCAGCAGCAGCAAACGCCGAGCAGAGAAGAAAGGAAGAAATGAATTGAAGAGCTGAGCGAGCTCTGCGCCAATCACAGCGCGGGGATCCCACGTGGGGGCCGCAGCCACTCGCCGCGTGATTGGTCGGCGCCCGGGTCGAGTGCGGGAGGGGCCGGGGAGAGGAGGAGGGGGTTGGAGGGAGGGAACCTCTCGGTGCCACCTGGCGTCCGAACCGGGGAAAGGGAGGCGAAGCGGAGCAGCGGACCCTCCTCCGATCTACCCCCACCCCCAACGCCGGGCCGCTTCCTTCCTTCCTTCCTCGCTTCAGCCCCCTCCCCAGCAAGTCTGCCCCCCTCCCTTTTCCTTTTTTTCCCACGGCTCCTGCCCAGGCGTGGGGGGGGGGGCTTCTCCTTCTCTGCCCGGGGATCATTTGGTTGCGGTTTGGGCTGATGATATAATCCGACGTGAAATGCCACCGCGCCCGGTGGGGGGGGGGGGAGGCCGCTTCTGATGATGAGTTAGGAAGTTGTGTATGTTTGTCTGTACACTTCCGGGGGCGGGCGGGGAAGGTGAGGAGGGAATAGCAACAAGAGAAGCGCCCCGCCCCATCCAGGTTTTGGAGTGGGGGGCACAACGTGTTAGGCGGAGGAGAGACCATCGAATGCGAGAGCCAAGGTGGAATAATAATAATAATAATAATAATAATAATAATAATAATAATAATTTATTATTTATACCCCGCCCATCTGGCTGGGTTTCCCCAGCCACTCTGGGCGGCTTCCAACAAAACACTAAAACACAATAACCTATTAAACATTAAAAGCTTCCCTAAACAGGGCTGTCTTCAGATGTCAGATGGCATAGCGATATAAGGGTATCGGACTACGAACCGCGAGAGACCAGGATTCGTATCCCCTCCACTGGGCCATGAAGCTCACTGGGCGACCCTTGGGCCAGTCATAGGCTCTCCAGCCTAACCTACCTCACAGGGTTGTTGTGAGAACTGAATGAGGATGGGGGAAAGAAAGTCATACGCCACCTTGGAGGGGTATACAAAGTAATAACACAAGAACTGCTGCTGCCGCTGCCGTCCTCATCCGTTCGTTAAGACTTTGTAGCGCTGCCAGATCTTGTTGCTGTTTTAGTAACAATGCTTTTAGGACAGGAGTCCAGTTCTTCCTCCCGCCCCAGCAGTACAGACAGAAGAATTGTCTTCCCACGTTTTGGGTGCAGATAAGTATTGCAGCGGGATGGTCAGTTCTCACCAAAGACCCTTGGCAACCTGGGTGTTGTTTTCAATTTATCAAATTTTCCTAGGAAGGGGACAATCCGGATTATAGCGGGGGAGGAGGGGAATAGATACCAGCTCATCCCACAATAGCCACCTGTCTGGTAACACCCTTTGATCTCTGAATCAGCAAACCTAACCTTCTGAACGGCGGAGGGCCTGTAGGCCCATTTCCCTCCGGAATCTAAAATGCCTTTGGAACTCCCTGCGGGTGTATCTAAACACCGACTGCGCTTCCGAAGCTTCTTCAAACGGGCTTAGCCTGGAATCCCTCCTGGTTGGGATGGGAAAGGGTTTTGATGCAGCTGGCCAAGGATGTTTTATCACCTTTAACTTGGGAAGGATTTGAAGGTTTTCGCTTTCCTCTTCTGGATTTTTCTATCCTGTTTTATTATTGTTAACTGTCTTGGACGGGCAAGCGGCCTAGAAATATTTCAACTCAACATTTTCAGCAGAATAACTCCGCCCCTAAGCGATATTGTTTGGTTGTGTGCAGTCAAGTGACCACTTTTCTAGGGAAATTGAAGGCATTTCAAATAAAATAAAAATTGAAGAAAAAAGACTGGAAGATGACCTCATGATACAATTTTACAGAATCATAACATTGTAGAGTTGGAAGGGGATCCCCAAGGGTAATCCAGACCAACTCCCTGCATTATACAGATACAATTTTTGTAGACTGTAATTCAAAGCGTTTGGACAGAACGGAAACTGAGGCTGGGTGGCCGGGCCCTCCACGAGGCAGAGGGGCGAGCAAGGTCTTGCACCCACTCGCTGTCTCCCAGGCCCGAGGCGACCCTTCCGTCGAGGCGAGGGGGATGCCCCCCCCCCCCACGAGGCAAGCGCGGTCCGGACAACAATCGCGGTGCTTGTTTCCGCAGCCCGTGTGAACGCGAGAGCGCTTTTCCCTCCTAATCTCATTAGATCTGCAAAGCAGCCCCAATTAGAAGCTATAAAACAAACAAAATCGCTTTTGTCATTTTAATGTTTTCACTTCGGAAGATTTAGGGCCGATAAAACGGTTGGCAGGGCTGCAAAGGGAGAGGGGGAGCAGTCAGGCGGTGGGAGAATTCCTGGGGGGCGCTGGGCCCGCCTCTCCCCCTGCCTTTGATGTGCCCACCAGCAGGACGGGGGGTGGAGGGGTTGCCTTGTGCTTTATGCAAACACGACCCCCCTCCCCCACTGCGCTACCTGTTATTCGCTCCCTTTTCTTCTGAAAGTCTGAGAGGCTTTGATGGAGCCTCCCCCCCCCCCATGGGGGGGGGGGAGGAAAGTAATTTCATTAAAGTCACACACTCGGCTGCACCGATTTGCAACAAAGCACCGCTCAGGCAGGCCCCGGAAGGGCCAGAAAGAAGCGTCAGCCTGTTGCTTGCGCCGGGCCGCCCCCTTTCCGGATCCGGCGCAGCAGCTGCGCGTGATCCCCAAAAAGCGGGGGAGCCGATAGCGGCGGTAACTACACCGAACCCCTAGTTGTTTCAGATGAACACCCTCTTGGCACGATCGTCCCGCGTCATCCCTAGCCGGGGCTCACAACGCTCTTTACGTGCCCCGGGATACCAATAAGGCGGGGGACTTGAAACGTGGACCTTTCAGGGGATTCTAAGCCACTTTTCCTCCGTGGTAGCAAGTATGGGCCAAATGACAGGGTGCAATACTAAAGTTGCGCGCGCAAAACTTAATTGCTGGAGTTGTGCGCCTACATGTGTCTTGATACAATGTCGGCGATTCAAAGGCAGCACTGACTTAAGCCTCCCAAACCACGAACCTGCTTTGCAGAGCTTTCTTACACAGTGCCTAACACAAGAGTGCCTCTGGCGGTGCGCAGAGTGCCTTTTCCAAAGCCAGGAAGCCAGGCTCTCTTGGGGGCTGAGCCCAGCTCTTCCTGGACCCCGAGGGTTGCCAACGCAGGGCACAGAGCACAGTCCAGCGGGCCTCCGGGAAGCGGGGCCGAGGGCCGTTCCCACGCCGCGGAGTTCAGCTGGAGCTCCGACAGCGAGACAAAGGGGAGCATTTGCATGCTAACGAAGCGGTTGCGGGGCCTCCGTTGGCCCTGGCTCTTGCCGGAGTATTTGCAAATTGCTGCTGCTTTTGTCGAGCATTTGCAAATGGCAATTGCTGCTGGTGCTGAAGGGGGCCCGCCTTGCCTTTGCCGTCCCCTCCTCAAGCCCAGGCTCGGCCCAGACGGCTCCCAGCTGCGGAGGAACAGAGGCAGTAATTAATTGAAGGAGAAACCCAGGCCAAGCTCCCGCCCGCCCCTCCCGGGCAGCGCCCATTAAGCACAAAATGGCTCCCCTCGCCTGACGTCACGAGGAAGGAGAGAGAGAGTGTGGCGCGAGCCCCGCCCCTCCTCGTCTTCCTTGTCCCACGTGGGGCGCGGTCATGTAAAGAAACGGGGCGGGGAAAGCAAACCACACGCGCGGGAGGGAGACGGGGAAGCGGCGCCCGGCCAATGGGGGGAGAGAGAGCCCTCCGCCGGCTCCTCATTGGTCTGGGCGCCTCGCCGCTGCCACTCCAAGCCGGGAGATCTGTCCGTCAAAGGCACGTGGGGCGGTCGGAGCCCGAGCGCTGACAAATAGGTTGCCTTTCCGAGACTGGCGCTCGCGGGTCCTGCTTGGAAAGGGCCGCTTAATTAGCTCTGAATGGCTTCTCCTTCCAGCTCAAACAATCTGTCACTACCATGTGGTAAAAAGGGAGCCGTGCATTTAAAAAAAAAAGAGAGAGAGAGAGAGAGAATAAGAAAAAGGGGAGGAGGAGGGGCTAAATATCAATTTGATTTTATGCATCAAAGGGAGAAGCTTCTATTTAAATAATAATAATAATGAAGGGGCCGTTTCTCTCGTTTGCCGCGAGGAAGTGAAATGTGTGTGCATTTAAAGGAATTTGAGGAAAGGGGGAATTAATAGGCCACGTCCCCCCTCCCTTTTGCTAAATTGACCCCCCTTTTCTTAAACGGGGACTCAAATCAGAATTGCAGGAAAGGGGGTCTCTGCTTGCTTTGAAGTTGGACATGGGGGGGGGAGGGGAAATGAGAGTATGGAGGGACCCCCCCCCCCGCAGGCGTTCTCTCCCTCCCCGGGCAAAACAAAAAAACAAAAGCCTCCGAAGCCCCCCTCCCCCCTGCAGCTCATTAGTCGCCCGCGTCTTCAGGGCTCCCCCCACCCGACCCGGGGACGTTGCCTTCTCCTCCGCGCCTCTAATTGGATCCGTTCCTGTTGCAGCCGAGTGGGCGCTCCAGGGTCGCAGGCCGCCTCCCCTCCCCCACCCCGCCTAAGCAGCCGGGCAGCCGCCTCGCGATTGGAGGCCTGCTGGAGCGCCGGGGAGCCGGCCCCACGTGGGACACAAGGCAGGCGAGGCTGGCACCGCACCGCGCAACAACCGCCCTCCACCCCGAGCGCGGTGGCGGCCAGGGAACTCCGGAATGGAATCCAGGAGGGAGACGAGGAGCTGGATCAAGTGGGGAGAAGTCCCTGAAGCTGGCCTGGTTTTCTGCATGGTTATCGTTGCGATTAATTTATTGATTGGGGCGATTTTCCCAGGAGATAATTTTAAAAGCTTTAAAGCACAAAAGCAGTTAATACACTTAAAAGAAGACAGTGTGGTGGAGTGGGTAGAGACTCTGGGCCATGAAGCTCACTGGGTGACCTTGGGGACCAGTCACTGCCTTTCTCGGCCTGTCCTACCTCACCGGGTTGTTGTGAATACAATATAGTGGTTGTTGTTGTTGTTTAGTCATTTAGTCGTGTCCGACTCTTCATGACACCATGGACCGGAGCATGCCAGGCACTCCTGTCTTCCACTG